GCTGAGCTGGGCGGCCTCGGGGATAACTTGGGGGGACAGTGAAGGGTGAGGGCCAGGCTGGCTGCCCTGTACCCACAGGACTCCTCTGGGCAGGGTGCTGCAGCAGGGGGACAGGACAGGTGACAGGATATGGCAGCCAGAGGCGCCTTCCCCTCTGTCAGAGCTGGAACGGCTGAATGAAGGCTGCAATGCACTCCCCGAGCCCCAGGAATGGCAGAACTGTCTGTGTGTGTGCGGGTGGCAGGTGGGGAACCTGCGGCACAGCACAGCCAGGAGGGAGCCCCTCCCCTTGCATCACCGTTTCCTTTCAGTCACTTGCTGCTTCTTCAACATCTGCCACCAAAAGGTTCCTTTGAGGAGTCCCCGAGGACCTAAGCCAGTCCCAGCCCTGCTCGCCACCTTACCCGGGCACAGGGCTGGATGGGAGGGGACCCCAGGCGTAGGGAACCCCCAGAGTGGGCTGGAGACAGACCCCTGTGAGAGCTCCCAGCTAAGCCGAATGCCAGGGCACCAGCTGCATTCATGTCCTCCTCCTCCTCCATCCTCAGCCCTGAGCAGAACGATCAGAAGGGATGTGAGAGCTGCAGGGATCAATTCCACACTGCAAAGGTGTACCCAGGAGCGCTTTTGTCCCCACCAGGGCCACCCTCAGATACAACGGGCACCAGAGGTGGGCTGTCACCCGACAGAGCCAGTCTGCTCTCCACAGGATCCTCGAGGAGCCCAGCTGCAGGCAGCTGTGAGCACTCAGCTCATTCCCTCTGGAAACCCAGTGTGCCCCAGTGCAGCCGATGTCCCCAGCTCGTTCCCATGAGCTGGTGTCAGAGCAAACCAGCCCCACACTGGGCCAGGAGCAGAGATGCCTCAGGCAGAGGCAGCACCCCTGTCCCCTGGCAGGGCAGGCAGCAGCCCCAGGCCACAGCAGAGCTGCCAGGGGCTCTCCCCATCAGCAGCAGCAGCAAACCCTGGCACAGGATCAGCCCCATGCCCTTGTTAGCTTGTAAAGACAAAACTTGCTCTGGCTGCATTAGAAACATCAGATACTAACCCCAGCCCTCCCATGGAACATGGGTGTGGTACTTGCAGCTGTGCAATAGTAAATGGTCATTTACATTTGGTTTCTTATTATTTTAACAGGGGGACTTCCCGATATGCAAGGGAAGTCCCTTGCATATTACACAATCACAGATACTAAAAAGAATCCATCCAGGGCTGTTTGGATTCTGCTCTGTTAGTCACCAGATGACTGCTGCTTATGCAGAACTCCACAAATTTTGTCATAACAGCTAATTTCATAATTACAATTGTTTGTACTACATTTAAGACTGCATTACAGACTGTACATTTCTGGAAACCACTTAATTCACATGTTTCTTCCTGTTTCCTCATTCTTCATCTTGTGATGTGAGAAATGAGAGGTTTTTGATGCGCTGTCCGTGAAGGATTAGTTCACAGTGAAACACCTCCTGTAACTCTGTGTGATACATTACTGAGTGTTCCATCAAATATCTCACTGCTAGTATGTGTCAAGCAGCAAGATTTTAGAACAAAATTCTCAGAAGAGGAACATCCCATGTGAACGAGCCAAGTTCTGTTGGTTTTGCACCATCTGGGTTTTGGTAGCAGGAGGGCTACAGAGGTCCCTTCTGTGAGAAGCTGCTCAAAGCTGTTCAAGAAATCCAATCCCTGATGGCTCTGAAGATGGACATGCTGCTGGCCAAACCTGGGACAACTAGAGACGGTGGTAACACCTCTGTGATAACGTATTTAAGAAGAAAATCAAAACAAAGTGGGGCATGCACAGTGTTTCCCAGACAGAGAAGAGGAGGAGGTGAGAACGTGTGAGGGAAACAACCTGGAGACGCCAGGGTCAGTGGGGAAGGAGGGGCAGGAGGTGCTCCAGGAGCTGAGATTCCTCTGCAGCCTGTGGGGATCCATGGAGGGTGCAGAGATCCACCCACAGACACCCACAGCCTGTGGGGATCCACAGGGGATGCTGAGATCCACCCACAGCCCATGGGAGAGGTGCCCAGGCCAGAGCAGTGGATGCCTTGAGGAGGCTGTGATCCAGTGGAAGATTCCTGGAGGAGGCTGTGATCCATGGGAAGATTACTGGAGGAGGCTGTGATCCAGTGGAAGATTCCTGGAGGAGGCTGTGATCCATGGGAAGATTACTGGAGGAGGCTGTGATCCAGTGGAAGATTCCTGGAGGAGGCTGTGATCCAGTGGAAGATTCCTGGAGGAGGCTGTGATCCAGTGGAAGATTCCTGTTGGAGGCTGTGATCCAGTGGAAGATTCCTGGAGGAGGCTGTGATCCAGTGGAAGGTTCCTGGAGGAGGCTGTGTTCAGTAGAAGACCCAGTGGAAAGAGGGGGTCCCTGCTTCCAGGCTGGAGCAGCCTGTCCTGGGAGGATTGCACCCTGTGGAAAAAGAGACCCACGTTGCAGCAGTTTTGGGAGGGCTGGGTGCCCATGGGAGGGACTCACATTGCAGCAGGTGTGGTAGTGAGATTGGAACCACATTGGAGAATTAAAGAACTGTCTCTCCCATGGGAGGGACTCTATGGTCTCACAGGGGAAGATCTCAGGTGATGAACTGACCCAAACTCCCTGCTCTGTCTCCCTGAGCTGTTGGAGGGAAGGACAGAGGGTTGGGGGACAAAAAGGTGTTTTTAGGACTTATTTTACTTCTCATTATCCTCCTCTAATTTAGTTAGTAAAAAATTCACTTTGTATCTCTAAGCCAAGCCTGGTTTGCCCTTGGTGTTATCTTCTAGGCCTTTTCTCAGCTCATGAAGCCTTCATGAAATGTTCCCCTCTCTGCCCAGCTGTGGCAGGGGAGGGGAAGTGAGAGACTTTTTTGGGTGCCTGGCATCAGGCCAGTGTCAAACCACAAAGTTTATGGAGTTCATGAACTGATTCATGTTTTGGGAAACAAGGGTGGGATCTGAACACAGGATCCCATTTTGAGAGAGATGGAGAAGATCCATGTCCTCCAGACCAAGCTGGCAGCAGTGCTCCCAGCAAGGCCCCACTGCTCTGGAGAGGGAACAGCACACACAGGACTTCAGAGGACGGGTTTCAGTCAAGGCTGTTGGAGGTTAAGAGTTTCTTAGGCGAATGGACTATCCTCTTTTTGGCACTGCTCCACCCAAAACTAGTACCAAAACCTCTCAGGATATAAGAGCAGATAGAATAGATGCCACCCTAATCTTCATTCAAAATTAAATTTTTGAGTTTTGGTAGTTTAAATTTCAGTTTAATTCATTCCAGAGCCAAAGGAGGCCTTATGCCACTGATAGCACAGAGCTGTTACACAATCACAGAAATGAGAGCCTGTGCTCTTCCTTGGCTGTGGGCCTCTGACAGGACACACATGAAAAGAAACAACAGATTCAAATTTTGTATGTAGAAAAATTCAACTCCCAAGAGAAAAACACTGGCCAGCAACTGCATCACAGAGGTACTGGCTGGCAGCTGGTGGGTATGCTATAGAAAAGCCAGGGTGCCATATCTGAGCAATGCCCAGTTCCACCATGGGCACCCTGAATCCTACCTCACTTGGATACAAAATTCCCATTTTAGAGAAAGGAGACAGTCCACTGCACAAGACTGGCTTTTAAAGTTCAGTAAAACATGGGAATAAATACTTGTCTGCTTCTTCATCACCACAAACCTTCCCTGCTGGGACAAAAACTAGTCAGAACTCTTGTAAGTTACTGGAATTTAATTTATTTATTAGTACAGCCAAGTCTTTTTAGGGCCTATCTCATGTACTACTAGTTTGAAAATGAGTGAGATTTTCATACATGGTCAACATCTTAAAGTCTGCTAACTGTTAGGACTACAGGTAATTTCTTAATATTGAATTGATATTTGGAAGGTAAAAATATTGGTGTAATTATTTTGTCAGACTAATTTCTCTCAAGTGGATATGACCCAACATGTCTGAAACCAAAAAGAGCCGTCAGCATTGAGTGCCAGCCCACCCAGCAGCAGGCCATTCACAATGCCCACCATGTAAAGACTCCAGCCCTTTCAGCAAAACCACTGCAACCATTTCCACTTTATTTTTCTTTCACACAAAGTTTCAGCAGAGCCACTCTGCTGTTACACACCTGACAAGGCAATAGCCTGGAATTATTTCTTTTCCCAGTTCCTTTGGTGTGATGCTGCCCTCATTTTGGGTGAGCACTAAAAACTCCACCAGGAATAGACAGCTGGGCAGGCAGCAGTGCCCAAAGTGCCTCCTGAAGAGGGCTGTGACTAAAGAAGGGATGAACCCTCCTGCTTTTTCAGAAGGGGAAGTCAAGCCAGCTGAAACCTGGGGAAAGCTGCATTATGTCATTTCCCCATTCTAAACATTCAGAAGCAAATGTAAAACCTGGTCCCAAACTACTGCTGGAGAAGCTCAGGATGTCTGTTCAAGTGAGCAGCAGGTAAATGTGGTTATAAGGTGGGCAGTGCCCCCATGGCTGGGTTAACAGGAAAGGGATGGGAATGGCTGTCTGCTGAGGCAGGAAGGCAGCATGGCACCAGTCACCACCAGCTCCTACCTGGAGAGAAGGAAGGCAGGACCACGATGAGCTTTTTCAAAATGCCTCAGCATGGAGCTCACCCTGCCCCTGCTGACATCAGCAGCAGAAGGTCCCAGTGCTCAAGTGGGAGCACTTGGATCTGCATGCTGTGAAACACAGGCAGATGTCCTGTAAGGTCTCCCTCACCTCCAGAATGACAGAAATGTGCTGCTCTGAATTTACCTGCTGAATTTCAGGTTGCTCCCACAGAACTGACACTGCACTCAACTGAATTTAAGGCTTCAGAAATTTTTCTTGAAGATCCAATCACCTCACCCACCCAGAGCTGGATTTCAGTCTCAACAGCATGCCTGGACCTTACTTCTTTGCTGGCAGGACACAGCCATGCTGCATCATGTTCTACCTGCCTACAGAATTACTGCTAGGATTTGATTTGTTGTAGAAGACATAACTGCATGGACGGGTTTGAAAAACATCAGAAAGGTCTTTTATTTCTTCAACAGAGAACATAACTTACCATTTGTGCATAATGCAATCATCTCACATTCATGCCTGTAAACAAGAAACCTTTGCAAATAACCTGCATTTTTAGAGATTATCATATAGCCAGAACTGTACATCTCTGGTTTGTGAAATTTGAAAAAAAATTATGTACAGGGTTTTACATGTCTTGGCGCATAACCAAGACCACAGGGGGCTTAATTTAATTGTTGTACTCACAGAATATTCTGAGTTTTTGACAAAATAGGACTTAGAGCTGGCTGTAGCATGTTTCCATCACTAGTTCTAGACGAACAGAAGAGCATCCCCCACAGCCTTCAGCAGAAAAGCACTCACACAATTATTGACTATGGTAGGACTGCAAGACCAGACCCATCATATGTAAACTGTGTGATACTCTGATACAACATGTACTTACTACTTTGAATTAACAGAACAAACTATGATGGGGTTTTATTTCAGTTGGTTCCTAATCCACACACTGGAATATTGACCATTTCACAGTCAATCTCATTAATGCACACTAACCATCAAGTGGATAATTTTATCTTTTATTTAGGAAAAACATATTAACTGTGATACATATAATAAGTAAAATTAGCTCAAATTAGCTCAAATATACAGATATTATTATCCAATAAAACATTAAAATAATAGCTGAAAATTAACGTAGAGGGTTTTTTTCTCCAAAGTAAACAAACTGAACTCTTCACAGGAATTTTTCATTACAAAAGCTAGAATGCATTCAGGTACAGTGAAATTCACCTTTATTGGAAAATGCAGACAGCCTGAGCTATGTCCCTGTTGATTTTAATCCCTGCCATTTCCCCAGCATTGCTGAATCAAATTTAATCCTTAAAATATATTCCAAAGTAAACTGAAGACATTCCAAATCTACAGTCATTAATAGGTCAATTCACAGAACTGCTGAAAAAGTAGACATTTCTATATAATAGTACAAAAGGATTTGTATAGAAGATACTTCTCTTATACAGTTATATTACACAGCTCTAGACAGGCTGAGCAGGCTCTTCTCAGAACGGGAAGCTTCTGACTAGGTAAGAGAAATTAAAAAATTAAGTTAGTTTCATTGAAGCCTTGTGCCTTATTACAAATATGAGCAGTTTGTATTCCATTTTCCAGTTCTTCAGGCTTAGATTCAGCAAGCATGCAGAAGCTGAATATTGCTCTCAATAAATATGAGATCAAATGTGTGCTCTAGTGGTCTCTTGTCTGACTTTAGAACAAATATTTATTTTAGTATAAATTCAGTGGATGGCCCAAAGCATCCAAAACTCTGAACTACTGCAGCATCAAATTGTGCAGCCTTTGCTCAGACAACATTTTTGTGACCTTTAGTTGACAAGTGAGGTGTTTTTTAATATCTCACTGGCTACAGTGCGTCCCATGACATTTGGGCATTGTAAATTAGACTTTTCATAAAAGTCTAATTTATGAAAAGAAAAGAAAGAAAACTTTTAAAGAAGGTTGGTTTGTCATCAAGTTAATAGCTTTACTGAGTGTCCCACGGTCAGACAATACTGCAATCACAATGAAGAGCTTTCCTGCTCAATTACAATTTGGAAATGGATGTGCATTACCAAGAATAATAATGCTTTTTCACAAACCATGTCAGAGCTTTTCATAAACACTAATTCCCTCAGCTTTCAGTTACTCTGCTTCTGAGATATGTGATTACCATCACACATTTTAGGCCACATTCTTCTAGGACTTCCTCACAAATTTGAACACAGTGTGCTTTATATTGTATTTGGGTAAGAAAGTGCAAAACATCTGACATCATATATGTGAGAACTGAGACACATAAAATAATTCACAATTAAGTACTGGCACCTTCTGACATTCAGTATTATACTTCATCTCTCCTTTCCCCAGCCAAAAAATATAAAAATAAATTCTTTTACCCAGTGTTGATGAGGTCTATGACGTCGGGTCTGGATCTTTCTTTATTTGAAACTTGCATTCTGTTTCTGTGTTATCTGTTAAAAAAGGAGTAGTGCATGAAAAAAGTGGAATTTCCCCACCAATTTTGTTACTGTTTTACTTAAGTAAAAATCTATAAAAACATAAAAAGTATTCATTATATTTTTTAACTAATAATCATAAATTAAAGTGTATTTACAGGAATATGATTCTGTGGAAATTTTCATTTCCACTACAAAGTAAAGCAGCTTAGGATCTTAGAGCACTTTAGTTCTTCATGAATGGAAATACAATTGGCATTAGTAGGACTGCTTTTCTCTCAACTAGATGCAGATTTCTGCATTATTCTATTTCAGTCTGTCCAAAACAAATTTTAACCCTACCTAATTTTTAAAGTACAATATCACACAGGAAGGCATTATGATATGTTTAAAAAAAAAATCATGTTGGCTAAAGTATTCATCACCTTTTGATACAGTTTTATTCAGTGCAGGGATGCTTGGAGGTAAATCAAAGGAATCTTGTGTCTGTGTAGCAGTGTCCGTATGACCCAGAGCCTGATTCTGTTCTTTTTACAGACAATATGATGTTGGAAGGAAATTGGTTTTTCTCTGGAGTTTTTTGGAAGGTTTGGGGTGAGAGTAACTCATCACTACAAAGCCAGGCTCTTTGACCACATGATCATTTTATACCTTCCAGCATAGTTCTGAAGTGATTTTTGCCACTGCACGCCTTTTTACAGAAACACTTCTGTAATTACAGTGTCTGAAGCCAGTTTTGGATAACAAATTCATAACTATGCTTTTCTATCTCACCCAAACCATCACACTGAAGGCCCACAGCTGATTTTCTTCCACGTGACAGTATTCAGGAACAACTGTCCTTTTTCCTGCACCATCTAGCTTCAGCAATCCCTCAGCACAGGGTTTTGGCATGATAAAGATCCCTGATGTTCCAGCCTTCAAAACTGTGAGCTTAAAATCTGCAGCTCAGCTCTGCTGTGACTCTTAACATTTGCTTCTTTCTGTCTTAATTGCTACAACAGGGTCAGTCCAAGAAAGACTGACTTACAACCCTTGGAGTGAACCTGTAACTGAGCTTGTAGCACTCACTCTGGCTGAGGATGTTCTCTTGGCTTAGAGTTCAGTGACATGACAGGGGGAGTGAAGCAATGGAGACTGGAAAGGGAATTTTCATGGAAAAGGAACAGGACCACAGGGCTCTGCTGCCTTCTCTTTTGGGGCAATGTGAGCAGGATTAGGGAATGAACAGAAGTTGAGAGCCTCAGGATGAGAAGTGCTGATGCACAGCAGCTGCCATCCCAGGGCTGTTGGCTATGTTGCCATCAAGCTGGCACAGACACATCAGCAAACCCTTCTTGGGACCACCTGACATAAAGGCAGCACCCAGCAAAGTACCAGAGCCCCCTGGATCACCTTGGAACCACAGCAGGACAGCTGTGGCCATCCAGGGCCAGGCTGGGTGCAGCAAGAGCAGCATGTACAGGAGCAGAGCACACAGCAGACAACAACATCCCAACTCTCAGGTCAATCCAGTATTTCTGATCCACCAAGACCACATGCAAAAACACATGGGGGGATACAAAACCTACAGCTTCCTTGGTCTTACATGTATCTGTATATAGAAAACACTTCACCAAAAGGGGTGTCAGGCCCTGGCAGAGGCTGCCCAGGGCAGTGGTGGAGTCCCCATGCTTGGAGGCATTTAAAAGCTGGGTAGATGTGGCTCTTGGTGAGATGGTTTAGTGGTGAGCTTGGCAGTACTGTGGCAACATTTTGACTTGATGCTTTTTGAAGATTTTTCCAAACTAAATGATTCTACAATTCTATCTGAAAAGGATACAATTCAAGTCTATTCGTGGACAATAGGAAAGTTGGATGTTTTCCAGAATCTAAGTGCTAGAACAACAACACTCCAGTCCCTGTCCCCCAGTGCAGTGTATCCAAGCCAATATGGCATTCAGAGTTCCTGATGATGGCAATCACTCACTTGCATCAATTGAAACTACTGCACTGAACACCTAGATGCATCATTCAGGATATGAAGTCGCTCAGAGCCTATATATAGGCATGACTCAACAAGCATTAAGAATTCACAGAACTCCTTTGTAAAATTATTTGAATAGTAAATTTTGCTGCTAAGTATTTTTCACATGATGCAGCATGTTATTACTATAAATGAAGAAATGTGCCAGGAACCAATAAAAGACCTTTGCTTGGTTTTGATTGACCTGACTTTAAAAACAGATGCAACTTTGTTCAGCATTACTTAAAAATATTTGTTTTTAACTGAAGACAAACACTTACCTCCTATAGATACTTCTATTTGGCTTGGTTCAGTTGGCTCTTAAATGAAAAAAATGCAGTCAAATGAATATGAATATAGTTTCAACAAGATCAATCAGATTAGGGCAATTAAGTTTTCCTGAAAAAAGCACCTCATTTTTCTTAACCAATCTGACTCATATCTGTTTGACTGAGATAGATTTGTGTAGCTATCTATAGTCTGCAACAAAATATAAAATATCCCCAAACATTTATTACAATCAACTATGTAATTGTTCCTCTTCTAGTGGTTCACTGTGGCAGACATATCACCAAGACCCAGAACAACACAATGTGCATTTGCACAGAATACACCAAAATTGGAACAGCTTAAAGAGAGTCACCACTTCTCCTAAGCCCTGTCTTTGATGGCAGGTGTGTGTACTTTGGGGCAGAGTGGGAAGGTGCATAACAGAGGACAAGAAGTATGCTTTAATTCCATGCTGAGTTTTCTACTACCTCTGCATGGATTGTAGATGAACATGTTCTGGGAAAACCATTTAACTTTTTTAACGCTGCAGATGTTAAAGACCAACAGACTACAGCAGACTCACAAACCACCAGCAACTGATCTGCTCCCTCCCACACCTCCACAAGGAAACAGAGGAACCAGCAGTTTCCTTTACAATAATTTTCATCATGCAAGTGTCCCTTACTCTTAAAATGTTTATCAGATGTGTTCTCTTAGTTTCCCAGCTTCTCTCTATAATGATTTATTCAGTCAACTGCAGAAGTTTTCCCCCCACTACACCAACTTAGGATACACATTTTTAAAAGGCATATGAACATTTAGAAGCTGTACTGGATCAAAGCAAAGTTGCCCAACCACATTTACTTTAGTTAATTCCCAGCCCAAAGCTAAGTTCTCTGTTCAGACTATAAGATAGGTGATGTGTGTGCAGTCCCAGCTGCAGTCGAGCAGGGGTTACAGAGCTTGGCAGCAGGCAGAAACTCCATCCAGACCCCACTGCCAGCTATGCAGGCAAACTTCACTTGGCTGTACATGCAGACATGCACACATTTGAACTAAGCAGACATTAATAAATGGATGCTGAATTGCCTTTACACATTGCCCCCACTAATCCTTCTTCCCAGCTCACTCATCGGCTGTAAAAATCAAATCAAGGAACACAATAATGACACATCTTGAAGAAAGTAGAGGCACTTTCCACTAATGTTTAACAGCTATTGAAGTTATTTGAAGTTTAACAGTTATTAAAGTTAACAGCTATTCATTTCTCAAAATGAAATGGCTCATCATGAGCACCTTAGACCTAGGACATGACTGCCAATGATATCTGCCAGTGAGATGCAGAACTCCATACCCCACCCCTCCTGCAAGGACACGTGTCACGCTCTGCATCACCTGGTAGTGCTGCTGTGGTAGTGGCTGCTGCTGCTAGTGCTGGTGCTGGTGATTCTGCTTTTGCTTCAGCTTCTTCTAGTAGCTCTAAGAGGAGACATAATCATTGTTTTACTTCACAATGAAAATGGTTCACATAAACAGGTTACTAACATGAAACGTCACATGAAACTTCTCACATGAACAGGTTACTAACACTGTGACTGAGATGCAGTTCAATTTTTTTCCTGTTACAGGAAAAACATTGCCTGTCTTGCCTGCAAGCACCAAAAATTTCCTCTTAAGTTTCCACATTTTCTTTAGATTAAGAATAAAATATCATGCTTATAATGAGGCTCAGAGCCTGTCACTTGTTCACATTGGTATACATCAGTATAAGATCATTTTGATCGTAATTAGTAGATTGATTTTGATCATCATCAGTAAAACATCATTTTGATCATAATTGGTGCCATATTATTGGCAGATAATGCCCAAACCTCATGTGCCCCATGACCAGTCTGCTCCCCCAGTCCCAACACACATTGTTGACAACTTATGCTGAGCTGACAACAGCCCAGTGGATTATTTCATTTCTAACTGAATTCCCTGGAAATACCATTACACATTTACTTGCCTGAAGGTTCCCCCTTGCAGGGAGACTTCTCTGCCACCTCAGAAGTGCACCTAGGTATGTGAGCAGGTCAGTGGGCTACAATATCCTCTTGAGGACATACAATATCCTCTTGAGGACATCTGACACTTGCAGTGCATGAACAATATTCCAGTATTGTTACTGGAATACACTGGTGGCTGAGTGTATTTGAACAAACACTGGGTTGCTAAGGCTCCAGCTGGGTGAGGTCAGTTGTGACAGCTTATTTGGCCTCTGAATTTCTTATCTGACGCTGGCTCACAAAGAACACAACACAAGGGACAATGTAGTGACAGTCTTTGTGGTTTGTTTTTTCTCCTAAATTACAGCTAACAACCAGGTCACAATTATTTTAGCAAACAAAATACTATACCTTTCCCTCTCACTACCCCAAGCAATTTCATTGTGAGGGCCAAATTGGCCATGGCACTTCAGCTAACTACAGTCTGCCTCTCTAAAAAGTTACAGTTTCAGCAGAATGCTGTGCAGCTGTTGGAAAGCTCTTCCTTACCAACTGCTACTGTGATGGATTTAAACCTACAACATAGGACCTCTCATCTAAGTGTGTTACTCCATCAGGATCCTAAATTTCTCTTGGACTCTGCAGCTGAAAAATCAGAGTCTTGCATTTTCGTATCAGGTCAATGCTAATCTTATGTGGTTTAAATGTAAATTTATTCCCTGCCCTCAAGCTAACTGTACATATGTGTTTAGTCAGGAAATCTTAATGAGAAATACACAGGCAAGAGTTATACAGAGACCTTAACAACTTGAGGCCTCTACCACTAAGACACAATGTAGAAAATGAATCTTGGTAGGTTACAAAAATACATTTGTCATCAGTGTCTCACAAATACTTACGATTGTTAATCACAAGTCCTGGAAACGGTCTGGGAAAAAAAAAAAACAAAAAACCACTGATTCTAAAATGAACTGCATGGCATTTCCTCCCAATGTAACCTCCCCAGACCTTCTATAACAGAGGTCATGCTAAAAATTAAAAGAGAGGCAAGTAAAACAGAAGAAATAGTAGCTCTTAGGGACTTTGGTTCTTCCAAACTTGGATTTTGAAAAGTAACATGTATGGGAAGAGCTAAACCCTTCCCTTGGTCACTGCTACTTAGCAAGGGGTCACCTCTTCTTCAAGGTTCAATTCAAAAACACATGAAAGTCTTTTTGGTTAGAATATGTCATGATTAAGGGTTGAGAATTCAGACTCCTTAGTAAAATCTAAGAAATTTCTCTCTCTAAAGATAAACTGAAGCTTTTAAACTTCCGTGAAGTCATCTATGATTTGAGAAGTTACAGAAATGGATCAATTTAATATTTTCAACTCCTCCTGAGAATGATTCCAAAGTTTGATCTGTTCTGCTTCAATGCATATAATTAACATTGGATATGTGTGTGTGTGTGTGTATGTCTATGGAGATATACACATACAAATGAAATTCCCTTATACTATTATTGGACAATACTGTATTATAAAATATTGAATAGAAACCAATGAGCTCTGGACTTGTTTCAAAACTTGATATAATGACTGAGAGAGCAAGGCCCAGAAAACTATAGGACTTTTTTACATATTATGATTAGATTTAAACTCAAAAGACACCTTGCTGTAATATGCAGTATTAGTAATATGCCTTTTGTCACACTAAATTGGACATGTCCTCCTTCATTCATGCTAGGAACATCTGGGCTTCCTTTGACCTGACATATTGTAATCCAAAAAGAGCCAACATCTTTTTAAAGATGTACTACGACTTCTATTCTCTCACATTTATTCCAGCTATGGGGCTGTACTCACAATCTAATTAATGGCAACCACATACCTAATGACAGTAAACTTGATAAACTCTGCTGATTCCAAAATCTTCCTCATTGAGCTGAGTTCCAGATAACTGGGTGCTTTAAATGCCACACCTGGAGGCATTCCATCCACCAACACACAGCCAGGGTAGTTAGTGATTTTTCTGTATGGAACTTTCACAGGAAAATTCATACCAGTGGCTTCACCTAAGTGGGAGAGGTTGTGTTTATTTTCAAACCTACAGTATTTGTGATTACATTGAAGAAAAAGTCCTCAGATTATTAAGAAACAAAATGCTTTCTATCAGATCTGAAACTATAAAAATTCACCTAACAAAAAAATGATTACAGAGTGAGAAATGAGATCCTGGATTACACTCATGAACATTACTATGAGAGCATTAGTCACAGCTCCAACTCTGACAGTTCAGCATATGAAGAACACAGATTCTGCTCTTAGAGAACAGTACAGAACTGGATATAAAAGGAGACAGCTACACAAAGGAAATCAAAGCATTTCCTGCAACGCTAGGAAAAGCAATTCAACACAGTGAAAGTATTTCAGATAAGGAAGCCCAGGTCAATGCTACTGTACAATGCGAAGTAAAAAACCCAAAAGTATACACAGCAAAAGGGTTAAACCGAATTTTAAAATTACTCTAATCCCAAGTATTAAGAGGTCAGAATTATGAAGCCCTGAGAAGAAACATGGACTTCCAGCAAAATAAATACTTCATCTGTGTTGACACAGAAAAAAGGAAAAGGGAAGGGGAACCCTGAAGCAATCTAGACTCTTAGGACTTTGGTTAATACACCAAACTGTCTACATCACTTACAAAAGACTCTTTTTGGAGTCAAAGCACAACATTCATATGCAAGTCTTAAATTTGTTCATTTTAACGACCATATATATAATTCACTGTGAGTGAATATTCATTCAGTAACTGCAGTATGAACAACATTAATTGCACTCACACCTATACAAAAATGGGAAGTAAGAAGCAATTACCAAATTTCCGGCTAAAAAGCTCATTTACTTGCTCTCTCAATTGTCTGGCACTTTCTGCTCTTGACAGTGGCTCACTTTCATCATCTGGAAGAAATTGTTAGAATAGCATGAGAATTACACACAAATTTCTCTCCCCCCCCCCCCCCCAAGCTTGTTTATCCCTGCATGTTTACTCAAAACAGGTATACCCAAAAGCTTCTAAACAGGCACTGTCTGTTCCTCATTTTAGTAGTAACACCAAATTGTAGAAATACATACAAATAGATGGTTGCTAAGAAATTACAGAATCCTAGAATGGTTTGATTTGGGAGAGACCTTAAAGATCATCCAGTTCCAAACCCCTGCCATGGGCAGGGACACATTCCACTAGACCAGGTTGCTCCAAGACCCACTTAATCTGACCCTGAACAGTTCCAGGGATGAATCTAGAAATGTCTAGAGATGATTTTGTAAAGTAATTTAAACTAACAAATTGTATTTTACTTTCTTATGGAACATAGAATGGTATGTAAAGATAAAAGCAAAGTGATCATTCAGTAGATGGCCATAGCATACAACAAAAAAAGCAGTAATTGGTGTTAAGACAAAGCAGTTCAGCCTGCACGGTCATTCAATTCAGTTCAAATACTGACATCTGGAAGTTGCCAAGAACTGCAAATCAATACTTAAATTATTGCATCATAAAAATGTGGATGCTTCTTAATAGGTGGTTGGACTAAGAATATTCTAGAGATGTCACTGATGAGTGTTAGATAATAATTAACATCTCGGCACAACCAAAAGGTATCTTATGTTCTTTCTTGACTCTACCTGTACTTCATCAAACCAGCTTGACTGTAGGAAAACATCAAACTAAGCAGATACCATGAGGAATATAAGCACAAGTATTATTATACCAAACCAGCCAGTATACACACCTTTTATGGTTACTTTAACAATGCTTACGTCTTCAACACTTGCAGCTGTTTTCACTGAGTTTTTTGTGGTCCTTTCTGCATTGGCTTTACTGGGGGAATTATCTTTTCCTAAGAGGATTAATTTAGAAAACATTTATAGAGAGTTCAAAATCTTCAGTCTCATCTATAAAGAAAATATTGCAAAACAACAAATATTGGCAACGTTTTCAAAGAGGACCTAGCTTCAGCTTCAAAATGGGAGCATCTCTTCCATGACCTACCTACCTGACACAATTTTCTACTGCGTATTCTGTCTCTGGTGTGTGTGTCATTTAGATGATCTACATACTAGGAGTAAATAATTTATCTCTAGACCTGAATAAATCCTATGAATCCTACATTACTGGCTACATTTTGATAGCATGTAGTAAAGAATACATTAGAGGCACAATTATTTGTGAGTAACTTTAAAAAACTAATACTCCCTTTTTAGAGCTATATTTAATCTGTAACTAGTAAGTGCTCACCCCATCTTAAAAACAAACAAACAAGCAAGCAAACAAACAAAGCAACTGCAATTGAATAGATCTTTCAGGAATAAACAGAATAAATCTTTCAGGAATTTATTAACACCATGCTGCTCTCATAAGTAATATTCAACCCTTGAAATAAACTGTAATCTGGAAAGCTAAGCAGTTGCAAAACTCACCTTGGGGGCTTTTATCAGAACTTTCATTGATAGCTGCCTCAAGCATCTCAGGCCTGCAAACAGATCGAACATTTTACATATAATAATAAAATTGTAACATCAACATTAAAGAAAATCCCATTTTCTAAAAACGGTAACTAAGTGATATTCTCTCAGCCAAAGAGACAGTCAAGAATACAATGACTGAGAGGCTCCATAACTTCCCAGAATCACAGAATCTTAGACTGGTTTGGGTTGGAAGGAACGTAAACCCCATCCAGTTTCTTGCTCCTGCCATGGGCAGGGACACCTTCTACTACACCAGGCTGCTTCAAAACCCCATCTAACCTGGCCTGGGACACTTCCAGGGATGGGGCAGCCACAGCTGCTCTGGGCCTCACCACCCTCCCAGTGAAAATTCCTTCCAAACATCTAATTTTACCCTGCTCTCTGTCAGTTTAAAGCCATTCTCCCTTGTTCTATCACTACCTGTCCTTGTAACTTCTGTTGCCACTGTTTCTGTACTGACACAGGAATATCTAAGCCTGTTCTAGGCAAAAGAAAGAAAATTCTTACAGCTCTCATTAAAATAATCTCCACTCGTCAGCTCTCAATACACAAACCAGCAAGCTTTATGAGCAGCCCATAAGTGCTCCCTGCAGTAGGAACTAAACCAGTGATGTGATAATTGTGATGGATTAAGAAATATGGACTTGTTCTTCCTCTCACAACAAAGTCTAAGAGTCTCTCAGAACAAATAGATTATTGTATCTTGTTCCACTGGCACAAGAGCTTTTCAACCATTTCCTCAAGTACTAAAAATACAACAGTGTGTATTTTATAGAGTAATTTAGCAACTTGGCAACACAATTTCATTTTTGGGTCCACATTTTAATTCTCATAGAACAGATTATTAAAGACATATGGGAGCCTTACTTTTTAATAATAAATTTTATTTTGGGTTTACTTCTCAGGATCTTCTCTAGTCTTGGAATCCCAAAAGTTGTAGGCTGGCGGAAGGGCACCCCCTCAGGAAGCCCTTCCACGTAGAAATCCTCTGGGTAAGAATCAAACAGTGCATATGGCACCTTCACTGGCCCTGTGCGTCCCAGTGCCTCCCCTGAAATGCAAGAGAGCAAATAAGGTACCAGTTAGGCAACTGAAGTGTACAGAAATAGACTATTCCTTGCAAAAATGTAATAGATTAGTTGGCACATATATACTTGATTAGGTAGAACCAGCAGGCTTTGCCTTTTTTGGTGACAGCTATGAGTCTGCAGGAAGAAAATTAACAGTTTCAAACTTAACTCATTCTGTTGCAGTAAATCTCACCGTCATTTGCTGAAAACTAGTAATTTCCATCCAGCTCATGCCACTGGCTTGGTCTGCATGCATGACTATCCTATCTGTATGCCACTTTTGTGTTAGGTTGGAAATGCAAGATGTGGCTGGGGATGTGCATTCTATTGCCATCTGTGAGAGCTGGGGCAGTTCTCTGCTGTTCATGGGGCAGTTTTCTTTATCTCTCCCACAACCAATCCTTCCTCCAGGAGATCTCTGCTGTTCATGGCCACTGAGTGTCCCTGCATGGCTGAGAAAATTCCATCATCCCATGGGGAGATGCTCTGCCCAGGGGGGGAGCCAAGCATTCCTACCTGGATCCAATCTGACCTGGGAACAGCACAGCAGCCTTTGCCCACTGCATTCCCAGAGGAGCAGCTTTCTTCCCACTGCATTCCCAGAGGAGCAGCTTTCTTCCCCACTTCATTCCCAGAGGAGCAGCTTTCTTCCCACTGCATTCCCAGAGGAGCAGCTTTCTTCCCCACTTCATTCCCAGAGGAGCCCAGGCCCATCTCCCCCAGCCCTGGAGCTCCAGAGGAAAACTCCCCCCTTGTGCAGGATCCTGCTCCAGCAGAAGCACAGCTGGCACTGCAGGAGGGCTGAGCCACCATGGGATGGGGTTGCTGCCACCTCCCTGACACACAGGGTACCAGGGCATGTTCTGAATCTGGCAGTGTTGTTTTGTATTACTGCATTTTTATTTTTATTTTTCCTAATAAAGAACTGTTATTCCTAATCCCATATTTTTTGCCTGAGAGGCCCTTTACTTTCAATATTATCGTAATTCAGAGGGAGGGGATTTACGTTTTCCATTTCAAGGGAGGCTCCTGCCTTCCTTAGCAGGCACCTGTCTTTTCAGGACACACTGTTGCAGGCAATGCATTCTGCCTCTTTCTCTTCTGGAGAACAGCACCAAGGACAGGTGAGATAAGTGCTCTTGTTCAAAAACCCACACTCAGAAGAATAAGGAGAAACCATTACTTCCAAAAGTCACAAGTTTTCAAACAGCCTGCATTAGAAGAAGTGCTGGAATATAATGGAGCACATTTCTCCAGATACCACCCAACCTGTTTTGAGTCATGCAGAGTCATACCAAGTCCCATTTATAAGCAGAGTGATGAAAGCTCAAAATGAAGTGCCAGTATGTGAAATCACTCTGTCTGTGGATCATTAAAAAAATTGTAATCCAACTACAACTTCTCCATTTTCAAACCCAAGTAAAATAAGAAATAGAAATGTGACACTGGATTGCAAGCACATGGGAATGAACTCAGATGGGAAACTGTAAGGTACACAAGGATTGCAGGACCTCTGGAATAAACATATGAACACCTCTCATACATCCATCTAACTGCATGCTCCTAAGAAAGGCATCTCAGTAAAAAAGAATCAATAAACATACCACATTTTTCATTGAAAAGATTTTCAACTTTCTGCTTTAAGTCCGTGATTTTGGCATTCCACAAGTCTGCCAGGAAGAAATTGGAAGAATTAGAACAACACACACACAATGAATCAGTCTTTGAATAACATTTTAACAAATGTTTAATAACTTATTATGCTTGATAACCAATTTACTGTGGCAGTAAAAATGTGCAAAATGGCTTTCATTCTGCAAAACTATATCCACATCAATCCTCATTTTCCTGCGGCTCTGAAAGATATTGCCACTAAATAAAGCAAAAGTGATTAAAAGCAAAATTAATCCAAGCGTGATCCAAAGTTACTATCAGACAGCAGAAAATTTACTACCAGACAGCAGAAACTTTACTATCAGAGAGCAGAAAATTTACTCATCTGGACCAGCACCCAAAATAGTGGCAGGAAGTTCCTCATATCTTCAATGACACAGCCCTGAAACACATTCTTCTCTCCTGAGAACTTTAATCTCTAGCACAGTTCCTACTTTAGGAACTGTGAGATTAAATGTCCATTTAATTTAAGTATTTTTTTTCTGACAGCCATCAGAGCAATTTCTAAACCAGTTTACTTGTGGCTGCACTAAGTGGGCCATGGCTGGTCTACAAAACTAAAACCTCACTCTAAAGTTAAAAAAAGTTGCAGATAAAAAAAAAAACCACCTAGGTCTAACAGCAACAGGAAAGTCCAAGAAAACTGTATGCAACTCTGACTATGAATACCACCCATGGCAAGTCAGTATCCCATTCATGCTCTATTGGCTTGGTAGGAGGAAATAATTCCTTTCTTATAGGTTTTTTGACCATACAGCTAAAAAGATAGCATAGGGGACAAAAAAGATAAAGCAAATAACAGCAAATTCCTACACAAACATAAGCAAATAAACTCAGAATGTAAGTATGCTGAAGAAAAGGTTCACTGAGACAGAACTACTTACAGTTACTTTGAACACAGTCACTCATCTTGCTTGACAATGAAGAATTTTTCTGGACTGCAAATTGACCCTGCTTTTAATACTGAGATTTCTGTTCCAGAGCACTGCACTAACAGGCCTGGGCCTCCATGGCCAAAAAGCTCTGGCCTACATTCATAAACACAACTATAAGACTTTCAGTCATGTCCAGCTTTTCCTTTACTGATTTTCCAGAACTGGAGAGGTCAATCACGGCAATCATGCATAATCAGCTCTGACAGGTCATGGCTTGCTAATGTCAGTTCAAATTCTTCCTGGTCCCTACAGCCAACCTAGGTATCTCTGCACAGGGATGTCAATATTTCAAATTTGTGGAGAGCTTATGAAATTTATGCACATTTCAGCTGGGTTTATGCACTCGGTGGTACTTTGCAGCAGAAAAGTCCTTCAAGGGTCTGCAGCACTGTGCAGTAACACACCAGCAAAAATCCAAAACTGACTCTGCACCTGAATCAATAATATCTAATGGATCTGGGCTGCATTTGTACAGCATACTCCACAGATCATCCAGGATTTCTCTACTGCAGATTATTCCACATAATGAAGAACTGAATTAACACAAAAGTGAGGACTTCAGTCATTCGCTAACTGTACATCAGAACACGAACTCAAAATATCTGATATATAATCCAGGTGTTCCATACCAACATTAAAGGAATGCATCTGTGCTAATTCCCCCAACACTTACCAAAAGAAAACTCTTTTCCTTGTTGCTTAAAATTTGGATTGGAGTCACTAGCATCAGAATGACTTTGCTCTTTCTGAGGACCTATGAAGAGACATTACATATATAATGCAGAGAGCAGAAACAAGACATCATACAAAAAGAACAATGCATCAAACTTGATTACAAGAGAAATCTTCAATTCTGAATCAAGAGTAGAATGAAAAAAAAAAAAAAAAAAGCCTTTAGGAAGTTCTAGAGTTGTATTTAAGCATTTAATGCTACTGACCACATCTGTGATCTCTCTGCTCAGGACTACATCAGTTCCCACATCTCTGCTTGGAATAAGGACCCAAGCAAGCAGCCAAACTGCAACATTTTACCTAAGCATCATCTACACAGTATCCAGTTTGTTTCAGAAATGAAAAAGAAAGGTATTTTTATATTGAAGTGTAGCTGGAGCCTTCAAGAGTTTGGTAGGTGAGGTGCATGTTACTTATGAGCTATGAAAGCTTAGAAAAACAGAAAATATAGAAAACTATAATAAAAGAACATCAGAAGAATATTTATTTCTTCCTTACTGTCTTCAATAGTAACTTCAATCTCTGGGACACTTGAATTTTCTGAAGAACTTCGTGACCTTCGGGGACTCTCTGGACTAATTCCTGGAAACCAAAAGAACACAAGGTGTAAAAGCATAAATTTTGCACACCTAACAAAAGAACAGCTGTATTCTGAGAATTCTAACAGACTGAACTAAGTACAGTCTGCATAGTAAAACCTGAACAATACAGTCATGCTCACAATATTAAGAAGTAGGTTTAGTGCTCTTGGAAAAGATACACTTAGATTTTCCACTAATTCAGAACAAAAGACTTAGTTTTTTCTAAGTGTGAAGAAGAGCTTTGGTACTTTTTATTATCTAAAACCCCCAAAAATTACTAACATCTGAATTTTCTACAGACAAAAGATTCTTTTATTCCCTTCTTATAAAACACCACTATTATTTACAGCAGTTCACAGCTCTTAGCTAAAAATAGTTGAAGCCATTAAAAGTGAGATAAAACTTGTCAAAATTGAGTAAATTCCATTTTCTGTACTAGAATAGTCAAGTAAAAAAGCAGATATATTTATGGTTTGAGTGTCTTTCTCAAATAATACCAGATTTAGAGACAACTATGCTAGATCATCTGAAATAATGCCTTTTATTTACAACACCTGTATTTTTCAACCACAAAGATATCTCAGTCTGCTAGGGAAGCAGAAGAAACAAAGTATTTACAAATGGATGACAGCAAATAATATTTAGTTGTTTACCTTTCTTCTTTAGTTTACTAGCCAGTCTTAGAGGCAAATGGGATATGATAAGCTCAGGCCTAGAAGTTGAACAGAACAAATCCAATCAATTGCAAGACAAGTCACACAGCAAAAAGCTACAAATTTCTTGGAATTTAGCTGAGTTGCAATTCACATAACATCAGCCCTCTACAAGGAAATTCTGTTAGAAGCATGGATGACTCTCCATCTACTATACAATAAAAAATTAGAAAATATAAAGCTGTATTTTCTATTCTGCAATTTTCTTCTGGGTTTACTTCAAGCAAAGAAAAATACAGAGAAAAAAAAAAGGAACACAGACAGCTTCCAGGTACAAGACCATTTCCCCCCCTCAATTCTTGATGCATGAAACACACAACATCTACAGAAATTTAATGAGGAATGTATGTCCTTGTATGAGATAAAACATATGTGCAAAATATTCTTTGTGTTTAATGGAAGCAGAGTTTAGGTACCATTTAAAGCCCAGAGTTGCTGGGAATGAAGTCAAATAACTTCAAAATTAGAGGTAAAAATAACTAGATCACAAACTTACTTCTTAATAACAAATTTGATTTTGCTACTCCCACGGATGATTCTTTCAAGGCGTGGAATTCCAAACCACGTGGGACTCCTGAAGGGGACTCCTTCTGGCAAGCCTTCAACGACCAAGGACTCAGGGTTTGATTCAAACATAGAATAGGGAACTTTCACTGACTCTGAAACTGAAAGCCCCAGTGCTTTGGCTGCAAATAAAGATTAAATGATATATTACAAACTTAAATGGGTGGAATTTTATCTCAAGTGATTTTAAGAATCTTGTCTTACAGAAGCTCTGCTACTCAAAGCTAACAAGCCCCCTGGAAAAAAAATAGAAATATTTAAATATATTTGGACAGATTCCCTATTATTTTCTGTGGAGTAACTGCAAATGGGAACTTGGCCCATCTTGTTACAGATAATATCTAATATAGGCCTACAGTGCCTAATGTTTTATTTTGAGAAATTCTTTTCATCCAAAAGCTTTTGTGCAATCATCTCGTCACACAACTGGAAAAATTATGGCCTAGGATACTGTTATAAAAACATTTATGTGAGTTATAGGAAGGAGTAAGTAAAACATAGGTAAGAGGATTTCCATATCTGTTCTAGTACACTTCTGATGCTTAAGTACATACTGTAACATTTAAACAGAGGAGTTTTAAAATGCAGCAGCATTACAGAACAGTTCATTTAGCATTTAACTTACCAAACTTCTTACTAAATATATCTTCTACTTGCTTTCTTAGCTTTGTGATCTTGGAATTCCAATCTTCTCTCGCTGAAAACCAGAAACAGGTGTCAAGAGAATCACCCAGCTCTAGATACAGAGGTACATTTGAGCATACTTCTTTCAACTTAAGAACATGAAAATTAACAACACAACTACATCTGATTAGACAGGGACACACAATGAGTAATTATTATTAATAGCAGCTTAAATGATACGCGCAATTTCCTCTACATAATGAAAAATCTATTTAAATGTAGTTACGAATTTCAAACACTGACCCTAGCAGAACAACTTGTTCTTCAGAGCCCTCAGATGCAGGAAGAAATTATTTTAGTGGTTCTTACAAAACTGGAATTAATTAAGCACAGTGTATAATAACATTCTTTAGAGTAGAACGTGAGGATTTAAAGAAGGCTTTAAATACATTTTGATTAGTATTTAAAAAACCATATTCAGTTCTATTCTCTATTGTAAATAAAAGCCAATTATAGGAGTGCTAGCCAGCACAGACAATTTAGAACTCAGACAGAGAAGAAAGAAAAGGATGTCCAATAAAAAGCACTTTTTTTTCTAACAAACAGCACTGTAGGGGTTTTGCATGGCCTGGTTTTTGGTAGCAAGGGGGTTACAAGGGTGGCTTCTGTGAGAAGCTGACAGAAGCTTCTTCCATGCCTTGGTGGCTCCAAAGATGGACGAGCCACTGGTCAAGGCTGGGCCAATTAGAAACAGTGGTAATGCCTCTGTGATAGAAGATTTAAGAACAAAAAATGTAGTGGTGCAGTGGTAGCTGCTGCCAGAGAAAAGCAGGGTGAGAACATGTGAGAGGAAAAACTGTGCAGAAACTAAGATCAGTGGAGAACAAGGGACAGGAGCTGCTCCAGCTGCCAGAGCTGGGATTCCCCTGCAGCCCCTGGCGCAGCCCGTGGAGAGGCAGCTGTGCCCTGCAGCCATGGAGGGATGGGGGCACAGACCCACCTGCAGCCCTGGAGGAGCCCCCAGCAGAGAAGGTGGATGCTGCCTTTTCTTGCTCCACAAGAAAAACAGCCTTTTCTATTTAACTACCCTCTTATTAATTATGAGTTTTTTACTAAAATAATAAAAAAAAATCCACAATACATTGTGCTGATGTAAGGTGACTACTGCTTGCATGATTATTAAATCATAACAAATCATATCCCTTCTTTTTATTTTTTTCCTCCAGCAAGCTAAAAACATAGGAAGCCGTGAATATTGGCTTGTGTTCTTACTACATGCAAAAAACCCAATGAGATCTCGATTGCATGTTCCTATATTAAGAAAGCACCAAGACACTTCAAAGCATTCAGATATAAATCCCAAACTGATTCTTCTCCCTGTTAAAGGCACATCATGCTTTCAAGTAGTCCTTACAATTCCTTCCCCACAGAGACCTGCAAGAGCTCAGGGTCACCAGTGAAATCCCAAGGGATACCAGACCTTTGATTCAGGCCAGGACAGTAATTCCAGTTCTCTGGGGCTCTGAAGGTGACCCAGCCTAGTTATTCAAAGGCAGCTCAGACTGCATCAGGATTTCACAATCCAGGAAGCCATCCACATTCACAGTGATCAGTTTATTCCTTCCAACCCTCATGAAGAATATGTCAGCACGCTCATCAAACATGGGCTGCTTTTTGAAAAATACTGCATTCATCTAGATGCATTTCCCCATCAAACCCTTCCATTCCCACTTGGAGACAGCACCTGTCTTACCTTGAGGGTTTGACCTGGGCGGAGTAACTTCATTTGAAGAATGATTTAGTAGCTCTGGCCTGCAACCAGGACACAAATAATCCGCTTATTCTTGTCATAAATTAAATACCACTACCCATTATGACATGAATTGAAGAGTTTGAATTTTTCCATTATGTTTTTCACACATGTCAACATGCTAATAGATATGCAAAACATATTCTGAAATATTTGTCTAGATTGCAAATGCCCACTTCATGATGCAGAATACTCATTTTGCCTATTTGGTAACTAGAGTCCAAATGCTTCATGACTTAATGAAACCAAGTGCTTGATTACATAAAGAGTGTTTGGACTCTTTTTTATAAAAAGTTCCATGTTTAGACTTACCTTTTGATCACAAATTTTATTCTGTCGCCCATTTGAATTATTTGTTCAAGGCAAGGGATTCCATACCAGGAGGGACTCTTAAATGAGACATTCTCTGGCAGCCCTTCAACGTAGAGGTCAGTCGGATGAGCTTCAAATTTCTTGTATGGAACAGCTTTGGGTTCATTGCTGCCCAAAGCCTTGGCTGTTGGAACAAAATACATCTAGTAACTGGACAGATTGGCCAATCAACTGTCATTAAAAGCTAGCTGATACCAACTCCTCAGGCTGTAGCCTAATTTAAATTCTTGTACAATTTAAGAGCAATTGTGTTCTTAAAATGTGGAACAATGCAGGACATCTAAATCCAACAAAACCCAAGTCTCTGCATGTAAAAAATGTAAAAAAATTGCCATATTGTATGATGCTGCTGTTGGGCAGTCACAATACCAGACTGGACTGCCTACTGGGGCATAATGCATTTGTTTTATCCAAAGTTGGTAATCTGTTATAGAGTATAATGAAAAAGTTTATTCTAGGTCTGACAAAGTTGACTGTTTTTTCATATTGGACAGAACATAAAAATTAACCCAAAAATGTTTTAATACTAATTATGATGATATTGCAGTGGATGTAAGTAAACGGGTGTTTTATTCACCACCAAAGGTGATGAATATGTTTCCATCCAAACAGGAAGGAATCAAGAACAATCAGAAGAGCTGTATATGTAAGACTTAAAATGCTTTTTAAACTATGAATTTGCCTTGTATAAGCAGTAAACTAAAACATTCTTTTTCACTGAACTGCCAGAATTTTAAATACTTGGAAAAACAATCTTAACAAAGGTCTCATTCACACAGACGCTCAAAGGAAGGAATGAAAGCAACCTTCAAGAAATATAAAGCCACTCAGAAAAGAAGATAATTATACTGTACTTACCATACAATCTACAGAAAAGTTGATCTACTGCCATTCTCAGTTTGGTGACTCTGGAATGCCAGTCCTCTTTCACTGTATTTGAGACTGACACAGAACAAAACCAACATTCCTTAATTATATTAGTTATATTTTCAGTTGTTCAGTTTATACAATGCATAATCATTCTGGATTTTCAGGTAACACATAAATGCTGCGTGTAAGAAGTATGGATTCAATTTGGAACTAGAAAAAATAATCATACAATAATAACAGAACATTAAAACTGACAAAACTGAAGCAGTGACATCACTCTTGCTACAAAATACACACAGTGTATTGGCCTGAAGAACTGTAATACTTTCATCAACCATCTCCAAACTGCAGATTCCACTTGGAGTTTTTCAATAGTTTCATTTCCTGAAGAATGTATTGATAGTCAGTGCAGAATTAGGCATGTGTATGGCATGAAAATTTGCTTTTAAAGGATCAAAGCACATATAATACAAATCCCTTTTTGCTCCTGAATATGCATGTCTTTGTGACCAACAAGTGAAGGTTCCCAGTCTCAGAGAAGCCGTTGGCCAGCTGCCACACCATGGGTTTAGTCAGAGTGCAAAAGCAATGACTTGTGTTCCATACTTGCACCAGACTGGGCTATCAGCATAAGCACCAGCTGACAATTTTCCAGCCATTCTTGAGATCCTGCTGGTCTGTCTTGCAGCCAGTATCCATCTTCTCAGTGTCTCAGGACTGAGGCCATTCTACAAAACCCTCCTGGACCAGCTTGCTTCCCACAGAAATGCAAATGAAAATCATCTTTTCCTCTGCCAGTCAAAATACAGGTTCCATACTCATCCCATTCCTTTCCTGCTGGGGACACAAGCTATCAGGGCCTATGGACAGAGCAGGAGTTGGACATGGAGCCACAAGGAGCTGAGAGAGCAGGGGCTCCACAGCTCTGTCTCCTGAGATGGCAGTGGACACAGGGAGCAGCAGAGGAGATAACAAGTTGCTGGGAAAGGGGGAATCCAAACTGGAAGAAAACTGCAGAAAAGGAGGCTCAGGCAGCTCCTGTCTCCTGTGATCTCTGAGATGTTATTGACAGCTCCCAGGGATGCTCTCTTCTCTTATTAGAGACAATGCAGAGGGCACACGTATCATGAGTTGAGCAATGTACTTGTTTTGCCTTCATAATCAATACAACTGTATCAAAAATTATTAAAACAATAGAAAAAAGGCTAATTTAAAAAGCCACATAAGAGTCTAGTTAAAACTCTGTTACTAGCCTACCTACTATTTTTGTAGTTATATTTTGTGCTTGAAGGTACAGTAGGTTATTAAGACTCAATACACTAAGTTAGCTTATACTTCAGGAAAAGCTTCCTGCACACACGTTAAATAGACATCTTTATGGTATGCCTGCTTTATTTAATTTAGATCCTTAATACAGTCTTTGATATACTTTTTACAACAGAAGACTATGAGTATATAGGACAAATAGGAATATCACACTGTGCTTGTACCACTCACACATTTGAAAACATACCTGTTGAAACTGTATTGGCCTCTGGAGCCTCTGTCGAATTCAGAAGTTCAGGCCTGAAAGATTTAAGGTGCATGTTTCACCAGTGACAGAAAACAGCTGAGAAACTAGCCTCCAGCTACAGCCTCAAGTTACTACTTACTGAAGGATCAAAACCAAAAAACCTCCCAGGGGACATCATGATCCCCAGCACTAAATTCCAAGTAACACCAAAGTATTGTATGAGCTGACTGGAACCCTACTGACAAAACATTTTTCATGCCCAATACCCGTATCTGGTGACTATGGGTATCTACCCATTTCATGGTGACAAACAGCTTCCATTAAACTTACCTCTGCATTGTGAGATACATTTCATCAGAAATAAAGATACAAATTCAAAATTTAATCTCTAAAAGAGTAAACTTTCCAAAATATATCTAACTTTATCCACAGTTGAACAAACAAAAAATTAAACATTTTGATGTTTCTCACAGAGCCAAACTAGATTTTCAGCTGCTCTGGTTACACATTTCAAAATCAATGAACACCAAAAATTAATTTCTGTAAATAACTAAGACATATTTGACAAAAGTGAGTGCCAGAATTGCATCAATAATTAGATCTATGTATGATATCTGATTTTAACATTCCAACAAATTTAAAAAAAAAAAAAAAGCATAAATTGAAATTAGGCCAGGATTCTCAGATAGGATCAAATATCCCAAAGTCAATGGCTTTCAACATGTATTGCAGTTGCATAGATCTGAACAGTACAAAGAGATACTGACAAGAAGTCCATAATATTGAAGAGATCTGTCCAGAGATCTCTCCACCACCACTCTGAGTGGTCCACTGGTCTGATAATCTGAATATGTCAAAATGGGCGTAACTAAAAACTACTCCTTAGTACCATAAATTAATATGTCAGTAGAAACCAGTTTGGAATTCCACGAAGAAAAATGAAGCAAAGTGGAACCAGCAGAAAGCAATGAGTGATGTAGAAACAAAAATGTAACTGCTTACTTTTTAATGACAAACTGGATTCTATCCTTGGCCAGCAGTATCCTCTCCAGCCGGGGAATGCCGTACGTGGCTGGGCGCCTGAAGGGAATCCCATCTGGCAGCCCTTCCACATATAAATCTTCTGGGTGTGACAGGAAGCTTGTGTATGGAATAGACACTGGGCCATTTGCTTTTACAGCTTCAGCTTTAATGAAAAAGGAGAATACTAACATTAGACTAGCTTGTGGCTCTACTCAATCACCTGTTTGATATCACTCTGATGAACATTATAATTAGCATACAGGCAGTAACCCCTCAGCACATTTAAACATTCAAGCATTCATGTTGTGAGGAACTTTATTTAATAGCAAAATCACTTTGATTCACAGTAAACAAACTGCAGTCCTGCAAACATATGCAGATTGTCCTCTTATCCCTTCATGTAAACATTTAATAACAGTGACCGCACCTGTTAGAGTGAAGATTCTCACTATTTCGGTTTTGCTTAATAGAGCATTTTGAAAGATGAAGTTATTTAGATTTTATGATAAACCAAGCATGTTTCAGTTCAGTATCTCTGTTACTATTTGTTACTACTACTGGCTTACAAGTCATTAATGCCTTGGAGTAGGAGCACACATGCCTTCTTTTCAGTGAATTTCTAAAGTTTCTGTGTATTTTAGAAATCCAAAGAACCACTAATGAAATCAAAAAACCACATGCTGAAAAAAGCATGGCCCTCCTAATGAAATCTTTGAAACAAATGAAATGCAAATAACTAGCAACTTGGGAAAGGGGGGCCATACCCCACCATTCCAGATTTCCCATTGTTGCCATGAACTTCCAGACATTTAGCAATTTTGTATTTAATGATTATTTACTCTTACTTTTTGCCCGTTGCTGTTTTGCTTGTAATTAGACTGTTATTTTTTCACTTACACCTACTTAAGTTTAGTATTGCTGGAAAGGGATTGGTTAATACCATAATGGGACACAATTCATTCCATGGTGTCTACCTCTTAAATTGTGTTAAACCAACTTAATTTTCTTTAATTTTGCTATATGCAAACATCAAAATCAAAATTAAAGCAATTCAATGAGAATTATGCCCCTTTCTAGAAAAATTAAAATACAGTCAATCAGTTCCTGAACTGTATTACCTTGGTGCAAGTTGTTTTCAGTGGGCTGTTTAAATGTCAGATAGTCACATCCCAAACATGTAGTAACTAGAAATCACAAGGTCTATTCTGAAAGAACTTCCACTTTTCATGGCAGAGGCACATCAGCATTTATCTTTAAATCTTTGCTGATGCTGTTGTAGTTTGTGATATGTGGACACAAAACATATCTAAGTGCAGCATTTGGAGACAAATTCCAAAGTCTAATACATCTGCTGCTTTTTCCTTCCAAGATCCGTTAGGATATCTAATTTTGCTTCACTGTAAAACAATCATCATCAGAAATGAGCAGCCAGTGAGTGGCAGCCTCTCTTCAGTGCCACTCTAAAGAATCTTTCTCTCAAAGTCTCAGTGTAATTGCAGAGGAAAGGACAGCTCCCTCAAATGTGGGTGCCCAAGATACCTGAGCATGCAGGTGCTTCAGGAGGCTGAGCACAACTAAAAAATAAATTAAAGTTTCACACTTTGGTGCCAATCACAGATATCCTATTTTGAAATTACTCTGCTCATCAAAAAAAACTACTTTCCTCAATTTTATGTCTTCTAACAGCATTTAGCCCTTTGGTGCTGTCAGTTCTGGTGTGCTCCTGAGCCAAGAACAAGATGCATGCCAAAGAGCAGTCTGTAACTTGCTGTGACAAAGGACTACAGGCAATGGCTTGGAAAGGTGTGTAACACATACCATATTTCTTTTCAAACAGCTCTTCAACTTCCGTTCTCAAGTCTGTAATTCGCGAGTTCCATCGGTCTGCAAAGAAAAGAGGAGGCCATGTACAACAAAACTCAGAATATCTTGTAAAATCTGTGTTACCACTAAGTGAAATACGAACTGTGTACTTTTACTTGCAAACAAGTGCCTGCTGAGTACAGTACAGACTACAGCTTAAAATGTATGGATGCATTAAAAAAAAAAAAAAAAGAAAGGTACAGAATAAAATATTAAAGATTACTTCTGAAAGATGTATATTAAATGAAGTTCAAAGAAACACAACGAAAACTAGGTTAAAGTAACTTCCAAAAATGATTTCTCTCTTTGATGGCTCAGTCATCAGCTCTTGCTGAGTCCAGGGATAAAGGCAGTTTATAGGTACTGTTGATAGTCATCTAGATTTGAGTGCTGAAAAGCTTGATAAAGCTTATAGAAAGTACATGAAGTTGTTTTGGTGGAAATCTGTACAACTACATGGATCAGGAGGCATCTACCATACTCTACTTCAATCCATTATTTCTCCAAGTCCTGGTAAAGCAAAATACTCAAAGAAATCCTATTTCTGAAAGAAAATATAGCTGTAAGAAATAAGTTTATCCAAATCCAAACCTGTGCGTCCAATTACATCGTCATGTCAAATAACAAAATACAACCATGGAAGCCTACAATGATGATTATACTGCTGCAATTCACCTACACATAACCAAGGGCTCTTCATTCAAGGCTTGCACTAACATGTCTCACTCCTACAGTACAAAATTACACAAAACCTTTTCATAAAACAAAGCACTGAAAAAAAATCATCCTGAATTTTGATCTTACCAAAATTGAACTGTGTTCCTTTGCTTCTCCCACTGTCGCCTGAGCTGCTAGCTGACCTGGGGCTCCTCTGTCTCCTCTCACGGGGTACATAATCATCATCATTATCTTAAACAGACAACAAGAAAATCACAGGGTTTTGGTAAAGGAAACTTGTGTACAGCACTGGAACTGCTTTTAATTCCAAAACTAAACCAGAAAAAAGGAACTCTGCTTAGCAGGACAACACATTTTGCAATAAATTACTTACATGAGTTACTTCAGAAAGCACCTGATTTACCTGTGAAGGAACAACGTGCTCCTTCAAAAGGGCCTGTGCAAAGCACAAGACAGCAAAAAACAAAACTGCTTCTAGATTCCCTAAGAAAAACAACATTGGCTTCTGAAACAGGACTGGGCATCGCATGATGGGAAAACAACCATGCACCAGCAAAAGGAATCAGACAATAAATTGTGCAGATAGGGACTACCTTTGTTATCTAACTGGAAGTAATATCATTCCATAGTAGAGCTCAAAAGACAGTACATAGGTTTTGTCTTGAAGAGCTGAAATGTTCTAAAACCACATTTAAACCAGTGTAAAACCAATGGTTGCTAAAGAACTACATCAAACTGGTCAAATCTGCCTTAAACATACACAGGTGGAGAGGCAGGAGAATAGCAAAACAAGCAAAGTGTCAGAGAGCTGCTACTAAGCCTGTCACTTCCCAATCCACCCTCATCTTCCTTCAGCTAACGACCTTTTTAGACTGCCCAATTAAAAATACCTCCAAACTCAGAGAGAACAAATGGTTAGAGCAGACAAAGAAAACTAATTTCACATGCAGAAGAACATGTACCCATGCCACCAAGCAAGAGTACCTATGTATACTTAGCAAGAAGACTATCATATATTGACAAATCTTGTACCTATACAGTTGTCTTATACTCTGCCACAGAAAACCTTCACAGAGCACTTTTACTTTTGGGGTAAAGGTCATAAAGTCATTAAGCAGAACTTAATGACTCTTCTCATATACATTATTCTATTGAGTAACATTGCAGTTATTTCCATGTTGCACTCTAATATGGTGAATGTAAAGCAAAAAGTGTCCACTTTCTCCCAAATGCCCTGCCTACTTTCGAAATTGCTGATTGGCTGTTCCTAATCTAATTCCACAAGCAAGCACTGAAAAAGCCAATCTCAGCAGTGTTTTAAAGCACTTACAGGACACCCATTCACAAATACAAGAAACACAGCTCACCTCCTACCAACATCCTAGCATGAGGACAGCAGGAACACTGCTCTGCAGCTTTAGAGCCATTTCAATGACAAAGGGAGCTGGTCAGTGCAAAGGTTTGTGTCTCAGAGTTACCAATATTAGACAGACACCTTGAGGCTCAAATTGCCACCTGCAACACTGCCTTTCTCTTCTGGTACCATTCTGCCCAGAAGCATTTGGTAACTACAAATGTTACATATAACTACAGCATGTTTATAAAGCAATGTTTTCTCCAGAAGGAAGGAATGTTATAACATCTTGTCCGTTCAATTATTATTTTTCATTACCAGAACTCAAAGAAGTCACAAAAGATACAAATTGCTGTCAGGCATCATTTCAAAACCAGCCCAGCAAGTCCAATATGCTTCAGCATATTGTGGTTTCCTAATACATCTGTACCAGTTTCGTTTACCAAGCAGTTCACAACCAAAACTACACTCAACACCAAGACACAAGTCACTTCATTCAGAGCCAAGTAATACAGGCTCTGAAAAATACAATTTAGGAAAAAAAGCAGCCAACTGAAATCAAATATGTGGGGTACTGACCTTCACTAGAGAGTTCAGCCTCAGAAACCTCACTTGCTTCTGAGGAGTCATGCTGGGAAGAATCTGAAAGAGAATGACAGGACTGCTCCATGATTGACATGGAAAACATTTTCAACAAAACACTCCATGCCCTTGCAAGGTAAAACCTTATCCTGCAAGGCAAAACCTTACAAAGGGAAAACTGTTTTCAGAACTCTGGGGGCTGCTTTCTAAACTGTCACATATAAAACATAATCCTGAGTGCACAGAACCTTATATACGTAGACAGATGAATGAGTCCCTAAACCAAACCAAACCAAACCACAGAATAATGGAGAGGCACAGAAATAATCCAAGGTGAAGCATCTTTAACCAGACTAAATTGAAGCACATGGATGCATTCCTGTGGAGAACCAAACAGAAGGGATCAGGAAAGGACACAACCAAAAGATCCCAATTTCCTGTGCCTCTAATTTCGTCATCACGTCAAATAACAAAAAACAAGAGTGGTAGTCTGTGATGATGATTATACTGCTGCAATTCATCTACGCAGAGAGTCCATGGCTCTCAAATAAAGGCTTCCACTAACATGATTCATACCTGCAGCACGAAATTACAGAAAATCTTCTCATAAAACAAAGCAGAGTGACAAAATCATCTTGAACTTTCATCTTACCAGAATTGAACTCTTCTGCTTTTCTCCTCTGACTATTGGCCTCTTCATTAACCGACTGGGTGCGCCTCCGTCTCTTGCTACGGTGTACATATGGCTGGTCAGTATCTAAAAGAAATCAAAGAAAAATCACTTGGGCTTTTGTGCAGGGAATCAATGTACAGCACTGGAACAGCCTTGAATTTCAAAAATCTAACAAGAATCAGGAATTGTGCTTATGAGGGCACCAAATTTTGCGACCATTAACTTATATAAGTAACTTCAGAAAGCTCCTGATCTTACCTGTGAAGGAACAACTTGTTCCTTCAAACGGGCCTGTGCAAAGCACAAGACAGCAAAAAACAAAACTGCTTCTGGACTTCCGAAGGAAAACAACATTGGCTTCTGAAACAGGACTGGGCATCGCATGATGGGAAAACGACCATGCACCAGCAAAAGGAATCACAGAATAAATTGTGCAGATATGGACTACCTTTGTTATCTAACTGGAAGTAATATCATTCCATAGCAGAGCTCAAAAGACGGTACATAGGTTTTCTCTTGAAGACCTCAAATGTTGTAAACTCACTTCCAAAGCAGTGTAAAGCCAATTAAATTCATCAAACAGATCAACTTGACCTTAAACACACACAAGTGTACACACAGGAGAACAGCAAACCTAGCAATGTGTCAGTGAGCTGCTACTCAACAAGTCACTTCCCAATCCACCCCTACCTTCCCTAAACTAATGTACTTTTTAGACTGCCCAATTAACAATACCTCCAAACCCAGAGAGAACAAATGGCTAGAGCAGACAAAACTAATTTCACATGCAGGAAAACATGTACCCATGTCACCAAGGGTATGGTGTACTTAGCAAGAATAATCACATATTGACAAATCTTGTACTTACACAGTTCTCTTATACTCTGTCACAGAAAACCTTCACAGAGCACTTTTACTTTTGTGGTGAAGCAGAACTTAAGGACTTGTCTAATATAAACATTCGGTTGAAATAACGTTGGAATTATTTATAAGATGCATTGTAATACAGTGAAAGTAATGCCAGAAGTGTCCACTTTCTCCCAAATGCCCTGCCTACATTCGAAATTGCTGATTGGCTGTTCCTAATCTAATTCCACAAGCAAGCACTGAAAAAGCCAATCTCAGCAGTGTTTTAAAGCACTTACAGGACACTCATTCACAAATACAAGAAACACAGCTCACCTCCTACCAACATCCTAGCATGAGGACAGCAGGAACACTGCTCTGCAGCTATAGAGCCATTTCAATGACAAAGGGAGCTGGTCAGTGCAAAGGCTTGGATCTCAGAGTTACCAATATTAGACAGACACCTTGAGGCTCCACTTACACCACCTGCAACACTGCCTTTCTGTTCTGGTACCATTCTGCCCAGAAGCATTTGTTAACTATAAATGTTGCATATAACTACAGGTGTTTATAAAGCAATGTTTTCTCCAGAAGGAAGGAATGTTATAACATCTTCTCCGTTCAATGACTATTTTTCATTAATAACACTAGAAGAAGAAGTCACAAAAGATACAAATTGCTGTCAGGCATCATTTCAAAACCAGCCCAGCAAGTCCAATATGCATCAGTATACTGTGGTTTTCTAATACTGCTCCACCAGGTTCATTTACCAAGCAGTGCACAATCCAAACTACACTCAACACCAACACACAGTTCTCTTCATTCAGAGCCAAGTAATACAGCCTTTGGAAAACACTTCCTGGACAGAAAACTGCCCAAATAACCTGAAATTAAGGACCCACAGTACTGACCTTCAAGCGTGACCTCAACCTCAGGATTCTCACTTGTTTCTGACATGTCATGCCGGGAGGTCTCTGAAAGAAAATAAACAGGACTGCTCAATGATGGACATGAATAAGATTTGCAACCAAACACTCCATGCCCCTGCATCTAAACCACCTTTGTCAAAGAAACCCCTTGCATTCACAGCATGCAACAAAAACAGAACTAAACAGATTTTACCGTGAGCCTTTGAGCAATTCCAGACGAAGTCAAAGAGATGAAGATTACACTTTTTTAACTGCACATGCTACAGTGCAGAGTTGCTGCTATGGCTGAAGAGAATTTCATCGTCTTGGCTTTCTAGGGCGAATACAATCATAAGTATTTTCCCTTCTCTTACCCACGATTACTCAAAATATAAACAAAGGCTGCCTGTCCACACAGATTAGCTGTTTTTTTACCAGCTCTACACACTCATGGTTGCTGTGCCATCAGGAGTTCCACAACAGGCTACAAGGCCAACAATCAAACAGGGGAGGGAAATTCATGATCACAATGCTTTTGTTGGGGCAGAGTGCACCAACAAGACAAGCAGGATTAGCCAATCAACACTCAGTGTGAGAAAGAGCAATTTATACTTAACTGCACTACAGTTAAACAAAGTGAAGCTAATTGTACCAGGAACTCTATCCAAATTAAGCAGCAGTGCATGAAGGAACAGATTTTAGTTATTCTGGCAGAGTAAAGCTGCACTTGTGCATTTTGAAGAGCATCTTCTTTCAGATCTCTGTAAGCTGGGGTATGGTATCGCTTTGGGAGCAAGTCTGAAGGAATCTTTATTTCAAAGGTTTCTCTTCACATGATGTGTGTGGTGTAGAGCAGAAATCCAGCTCTATCTACTGGGACACCTCAATTGCAGTACATTTGAACTATGTCAAATACATCAACCAGTTCATGGAAATCAATATCATGTTTTGTCAAATTTCGAGGCAGTGCTAGGCACATAACTAGCAAATGCTAAGTACTACAAAAGAAAGAATTAGGAGTTGTTTTACTAAAAGGAACATAAAGTAAACTCAGAAATAAGCCTGTCACATCAACGGATTACTTAGAAAAATTTTGAGAGAATTAAATAAGATTCTAGCAATTAAAAATATACACCATTTTTCAATATCAAAGAATAGACATGACACTGGAAGATGATCCATCTAGTCTAGCAACAAATTACTGACAAACACTCATGGTTAAGAGACTTGTGCAAAAAACTCAAAGCAAATAGCAGCAAAGTTCTGGAAGAAAACTCCGAGATGGGACGTTTCTCATTAAGACACATTAAACCAACAGTGTTAAGCACTGAGGTAAGTTTTTTTAACAAGATATCATTATCATTAGTTCTCCTCTGATCTTCAGTAAACACACACAGCTCCAACCTAAAAAGCCTTCTTCACAGTGCTAAATTCTGTCATTCACAAGCTCTGGCTCCAGTTTCTCAAACATGATTTTGCTCCTTTCAAAACAATTTCTTCTGACACACATAACCTCAACTTTCTGATTGCTGAATTCCAATCACACCGTGCTGCCCACTCATCCAATCTCATTACGACCACCTCAGAATCCTTCATCAACTACAGCACACCTGGGGGATTTCAGGTACTCCATAGTTTTGTCACTTCCCTTTTCACCATCTTGCCAAGGTTACCAGAGGGGAAAAAACAGTGAAAACCCCCAGGGACATATAACAAAATAAACCAAATCTAAAGGTGTTCTTTGAGGGAAACAATCACTTGTGCAAATCTGTATCACTGCCTGTAGCTTACAGACAAAATTCTGGAAGAGCTTTAAATGCCTCTTCTCTGTATTTCTTTACTAATACACAGATTAATCCCAAGACTACAAATTTCAAACACTGCCACTGATTCACCTGTCTCACTCCTTTTTGTGGGGATCGGCAATAAATAATTTCATTTTTCAGAATCCAGACAAGGCTGCCTACTCCTTATGCCTAAACCATAAATGAAATTTAAATTTGATTGTTACCTGCAGTTTTCAGCCACTGCCTCAAGATCTTTTCATAAATGCCAGTCTTTATGAATAACAGATTTATTCTATTTTATTGTATATAGGTAAAACCTAACAAAGGGAAAACTTTATAAAATCATGCCTCATGCCTCTTACTTTGGTTAAGCAGAAAAGGACTATGGGAAAGTGACTCAGCTGAATTAGAGATAGAAAACATGTTATGCAAACACGGTGTGTTCACATCGTGGTGTAAGGTGGTTGGTTGAATTATGATTCTTATGATTTAAAAGGATGTAACAAATAACCAGCTAACTGCTTTAAAAGCCCAGGATTTTACAATAAAGTGGCTCAGCTGTGCACTTGCCTGGGGGCCCTGCATCACTTCGGACCCTCATCTCACACTATCCAGTAAAACCACCTGCAACTTTCCACATTTCTCTTACAGAATATTCTGAAAAAGAACTGATCTCAGAAAAAGCTGTATTACAAAGCCTTACTCTGACTCAAAGAGACACACTGAGCATCTGAAGCTATAAGATTCTAGTCAAAACCAAGGCACAGTCAGAATCTCCATCACTTTCTATCACACTTCCCGTTCCCCACACTCTCTCTTCACAGTCACATATAAAGCACATGGCATTTGGACATGGCACTTGGTGCTATAGACAAGTAGAGGTGTTAGGCCATAGGTTGGACTTGATGATCTTAGAGGTCACTTCCAACCTCATTATTCTGTGATTATGATGAGGAAAACAAACTACCTACATTTCTCCCCTCCAATGAGTTCAATTAATCGTGCAGCCCCCACAAGCAACTAACTTCATTCTCCTTAATCAGGATAATCGCTGCTGAATTTCATGTAATGGTACCCCATAACTATGGCGATACCTACCTTCCATCAAAACTAATGGCATTTGAAAGAAGAACATTGCTGCCAGCAAAACCTGCCTTGCAAAGCACACAACTCAGGCTGGAGAGCCACGTGCTCAGAGCAAAGCCACTGGCACAATGATGAGCTGCAGTAACAATGCAGCAATCCCTGGATGCAGGGAAGAGATGATGATGTCTGGCTCCAGATCAGAAAGCTGAATGACAGCTTTATTAAAACTATAGATATTACATTCATATTTTGTTGTATATTTAAAGAGATACCACACTATTATAGATACTTACTTCTTACTCCCCTGTCTAACTAACAAACCTGTGACTCTCTGCTGAGAGCCTGAGACACAGCTGGATCTGATTGGTCATGGAACCCAAACAACCTTCACCAGAATCCAACCCAGCAATCACTGCAGGTAAACAATCTCCATACCACATCCCACATGGGGAAAACAAAGGAGCAGGGATAAAGATTGTTTTCTCTTCTTCACTCTGTGCTTCTCCTGAGAGACAGAATTATTTCTCTCTGTCCAGAGAATGTGAATGTCACAATGTACTTTTCACATCCTGCCAAACCTTGGGTGCTTGTCACAAATGCCCTTCATGACTTAAAATAATGAAGACTAACATCACGATTTGCTTATACCAAGCCCCAGAGTGGTGTGATTTGGGAGATTAAAAGCAAAACAAAAGTCAGAAAACCCAACACGGTGGAAATATGAAAACAGAATGTTTGGAGAAGATGTACAATTTCAATTAGGGGACATATTTCCAAATATTTTTATGGAAAACTATCCAGTGCTGGCAATTTGTAAGCAAAAATACACATCTCTAATGACATAAGTTTATTTCCAAATCCCTTCCTTCACTGCTATCAGCACTCTGGGGGCTGCTTTCTAAAACATCAAGTGAAAAACATATTCCTGAGTGCACAAAACCTTATAAAATTAGACAGATGAATGGGTCCCTAAATCAAACCAAACCACAGAATAATGGAGAGGTACAGAAATAATCCAAGGTGATGCATCTTTAACCAGACTAAACTGAAGCACATGGATGCATTCCTGTGGAGAACCAAACAGAAGGGATCAGGAAAGGACACAACCAAAAGATCCCAATTTCCTGTGCCTCTAATTTCGTCATCACGTCAAATGACAAAAAACAAGAGTGGTAGTCGATGATGATGATTATACTGCTGCAATTCATCTACGCAGAGAGTCCATGGCTATTAAAGGAAGGCTTCCACTAACATGATTCATACCTGCAGCACGAAATTACAGAAAATCTTCTCATAAAACAAAGCAGAGTGACAAAATCATCTTGAACTTTCATCTTACCAGAATTGAACTCATCTGCTTTTCTCCTCTGACTATTGGCCTCTTCATTAACCGACTGGGTGCGCCTCCGTCTCGTGTTACTGTACACATAGGTATGGTCAGTATCTAAAAGAAATCAAAGAGAAATAACTTGGGTTTATGTCCAGGGAATTAATGTACAGTACTAGAACAGCCTTGAATTCCAAAAATCTAATAATAAGGAATTGTGCTTATGAGGGCACCAAATTCTGCGACCATTAACTTACATAAGTAACTTCAGAAAGCTCCTGATCTTACCTGTGAAGGAACAACTTGTTCCTTCAAAAGGGCCTGTGCAAAGCACAAGACAGCAAAAAACAAAACTGCTTCTGGACTTCCTAAGGAAAACAACATTGGCTTCTGAAACAGGACTGGGCATCGCATGATGGGAAAACGACCATGCACCAGCAAAAGGAATCACAGAATAAATTGTGCAGATATGGACTACCTTTGTTATCTAACTGGAAGAAATATCATTCCATAGTAGATCTAAAAGAAAGAACCTATGTTTTGTCTTGAAGAGCTCAAATGTTCTAAAACCACATTTAAACTAGTGCAAAACCAATAAAATTCATCAAACTCGTCCAATCTGCCTTAAACACACACAACTGGACAGGAAGGAGAACAGCAAAACCAGCAATGTGCCAGAGAGCTGCTACTAAGCCTGTCACTTCCAAACCCACCTTGATGTTCCTTGAGCTAATGAGCTTTTCAGACTGCCAATTAACAATACCTCCAAAACCAGAGAGAACAAATGGTTAGAGCAGACAAAGAAAGGTAATTTCATATGCAGAAAAACATGTACCCATGTTACAAAGGATATGGCTTACTTAGCAAGAATAATATCACATACTGACAAATCTTGTACTTATACAGTTCTCTTATACTCTGCCACAGAAAACCTTTGCAGAGCACTTTTACTTTTGGGGTAAAGGTCTTTAAGTCATTAAGCAGAACTTAATGACTCTTCTCATATACATTATTCTGTTGAGGTAACATTGGAATTGCTTCCATGCTGCATTGTAATACAATGAAAGTAATGCCAGAAGTATCCACCCTATCCTATATGTCCTGCTTACTTCTAAATTGCTGGATGGCTACTTTTAATCTAATTCCACAAGCAAGCACTGAAAAAGCCAATCTCAGCAATGTTTTAAAGCACTTACAGGACACCCATTCACAAATACAAGAAACACAGCTCACCTCCTACCAACATCCTAGCATGAGGACAGCAGGAACACTGCTCTGCAGCTTTAGAGCCATTTCAATGACAAAGGGAGCTTGTCAGTGCAAAGGCTTGGGTCTCAGAGTTACCAATATTAGACAGACACCTTGAGGCTCCACTTACACCACCTGCAACACTGCCTTTCTGTTGTGGTACCATTCTGCCCCGAAGCATTTGGTAACTACAAATGTTACATATAACTACAGCATGTTTATAAAGCACTGTGTCCTCTAGAATGGAGGAATATTATAACATCCTGTCCCCTAATGACTTTTTTTCATTAATAACACTAGAAGAAGTCACAAAAGATGCAAATTGCTGTCAGGCATCATTTCATTACCAGACCACCAAGTCCAATATGCATCAGTATACTGTGGTTTTCTAATACCTGTCCACCAGGTTTGTTTACAAATGCACAATCCAAACTACACTCAACACCAACACACAATTCTCTTCATTCAGAGCCAAGTAATGCAGCCTTTGGAAAACACTTGCTGGACAGAAAACTGCCCAAATAACCTGAAATTAAGGACCCATAGTACTGACCTTCAAGCGTGACCTCAACCTCAGGATTCTCACTTGTTTCTGACATGTCATGCCAGGAGGTCTCTGAAAGAAAATAAACAGGACTGCTCAATGATAGAAATGAGTAAGATTTGCAACCAAACACTCCATGCCCCTGCATCTAAACCACCTTTTTCAAAGAAACCCCTTGCATTCACAGCATGCATCGAAACTAACTAAACAGATTTTACCATGAGCCTTTCATGTCTGGCTCCAGATCAGCAATTCCAGACAAAGTCAAGGAAGGGAAGATTACACTTGCTAAACTGCACATGCTACACTGCAGAGTTGCTGCTATGACTGAAGAGAATTCCATCATCTAGGCTTTCTAGGGTTAATACAATCATAAGTATTTTCCCCTCTCTTACCCACGATTACTCGAAATATAAACAAAGGCTGCCTGTCCACACAGATTAGCTGTTTTTTTACCAGCTCTACACACTCATGGTTGCTGTGCCATCAGGAGTTCCATAACAGGCTGCAAGGCCAACAATTCAACAGGGGAGGGAAATTCATGATCACAATGCTTTTGTTGGGGCAGAGTGCACCAACAAGACAAGCAGGATTAGCCAATCAACACTCAGTGTGAGTAAGAGAAATTTATACTTAACTGCACTACAGTTAAACAAAGTGAAGCTAATTGTACCAGGAACTCTATCCAAATTAAGCAGCAGTGCATGAAGGAACAGATTTTAGTTATTCTGGCAGAGTAAAGCTGCACTTGTGCATTTTGAAGAGCATCTTCTTTCAGATCTCTGTAAGCTGGGGTATGGTATCACTTTGGGAGCAAGTCTGAAGGAATCTTTATTTCAAAGGTTTCTCTTCACATGATGTGTGTGGTGTAGAGCAGAAATCCAGCTCTATCTACTGGGACACCTCAATTGCAGTACATTTGAACTATGTCAAATACATCATCCAGTTCATGGGAATCAGTATAATGTTTTGTCTAATTTCAAGGCAGTGCTGGGCACAGAACTAGCAAATGCTAAAAACTACAAAAGACAGATTTAGGAGTTGTTTTACTAGAAATGAACATAAAGTATAGTTGTAAAAAACTGATTACCTAGAAAAATTTTGAGAGAATTAAATAAGATTGAAAATATTAAAATTATACAGCATTTTTTGAAATTTAAGAATAGCCACAAAACTCGAAGATGGTACAACTCGTCTAACACTAGACTAACACTCATAGTTAAGGGACTTATGCACAAAACTCGTAGCAGATAGCAGCCAAGTTCTGGAAGAAAACTCCCAGATGGGACATTTCTCATTAAGACACATTAAACCAACAGTGTTAAGCACTGAGGTAATATTGTTTAACAACATATCATCATCATTAGGTCTCTTATCGTCATGGATGAACACACATCGCCTACATAAGCCTTCCTCACTCTTCTACATTCTGTCATTCACAAGCTCTGGCTCCAGTTTCTCAAACATGATTTTGTTCCCTTCAAAACAATTTCTTCTGACACACATAACTTCCACTTTCTGATTGCTGAATTCCAATCACACCGTGCTGCCCACTCACCCAATCTCATTACAACCACACCAGGCACCTTCATCAGCTACAGCACACCTGGGGGATTCCAGGCACTCCATAGTTTTGCCACTTCCCTTTTCACCATCTTGCCAAGGTTACCAGAGGGGAAAAACAGTGAAAACTCCCAGGGACATATAATGAAATAAACCAAATCTATAGGTTTTCTTTGATGGAAACAACCACTTGTGCAAATCTGCATTACTGGCTGTAGCCTTGAGACCAACTTCTGGAAGAGCCAGGTCTGCATGGCTATAACTCCTTCAGATTTCTAGGCTCTCAGTACAGCTACTTTTCTGTTAGGTCCACATTTGTCTGCCTGAACCACCTCACTATCACGTTGGGGTCACCAGATGTCGGATTCAAGATGGCCGTAACACACAGAGTAACGCCATACAATTTCAGAAGGCTTTAAGCTTTAGCCCTTTCTTGTTCCACAGTACTTTTTATACCTTTTTATCTCACATGCATTACACCTGTGTGCCATCTGTATCCTTTTATGACTGGTACACCTTGGCACTCCTTGCCTCAGTGCTTTCAATACTGCTCACCTGCTTTTAAAAGCTGTAGCCCACTGGGGTTGAGGCTCAGCCACAGCCCCACTCCCAATTACCATAAACTGTGTAACTACACAGAATTATGAGATTTGGGAGATTAAAAGCAAAACAAAACAAATATAAAAAAAGCTAACGTGGGGGAAATATGAAAAGACAAAGGCTGGAGAGGATGTGTAATTTCAATTAGGCTACATATTTAAACATATTTCTGTGAAAAAATATCCAAGTGTGTTAATTTATCCTCACAAAGAACACTCCACATCTCAAATGCTGTAACTGTATTTCCACACCTGTTTCTTCATTGCCATCAGAACTCTAGTAGCTGTCTTTAAAAAGATCAACTAAAAAACATATTCCTGAGTGCACAGAACATTATAAAAGCAGACTGATTAATGTGTACATAAGCCAAATAATACCAAAGCAAACCACAGAATAAAAGAGAGGTGCAGAATCACAAAAAATACCAGGTAAAGCATCTCTAACCAGCCTAAACTGAAGTGCATGGATGCATTTATATGGAGAACCCAACAGAAGAGATGAATGAAAGAAAAAAACCAGAAAATCCCAACTTGTGGTGCATCTATCTAAGTCGTCATGTCAAAAAAGAAAATACAAAAGTGGTAGCCTATGATGATGATTATATGGCAGCAATTCCCCTACAAAGAACCCTGCGTGCTTAAATGAAGGTTTGCAATAACTTGTCTCACTCATGCAGCAAAAAACTACCCAAAACATTTTCATAAAACAAAAAAAGGAGATTAAATGATCTAGAAATTTTGTATTACCAGAACTGAATTCCATTTCTTTTTTGCTCTCAATATCTGCAGATTCATTTGCCAAACTGTTGCTCTTCAGTTGCTTGTCAGGTGGTAGGTAGTTATCATCATCATCTTTAAGAAACAATAAAAAACCCCCTGTTTTTTTGTCCATGGAACTTGCATGCAGAACAGGAACCGCCTTGAATTTTGAAACTAAAACAGAAATAAGGAATTGTGCTTATGAGGGCAACAAATTTTGCAAAAACTTACTTACATGACTAATTTCAGAAAGCTCCTAATCTTACCTGTGAAGGAACAACTTGTTCCTTCAAAAGAGCCTGTGCAAAGCACAAGACAGCAAAAAACAAAACTGCTTCTGGACTTCCTAAGGAAAACAACATTGGCTTCTGAAACAGGACTGGGCATCGCATGATGGGAAAACGACCATGCACCAGCAAAAGGAATCACAGAATAAATTGTGCAGATAGGGACTACCTTTGTTATCTAACTAGAAGTAATATCATTCCATCGTAGATCTCAAAGAAAGAACCTTTTTCTTGAAGAGCTCAAACGTTCTAAGCCCACTTTTTAAATGAGTGTAAAACCAGTGAGTGACAACAGAATTCATCAAACAGGTCAACTCTGCCTTAAACACACACAAGTGGAAAGGCAGGAGAACAGCAAAACTAGCAATGTGTCAGAGAGCTGCTACTCAGCCTGACACTTCCAAACCCACCCCTACCTTCCTTGAGCTAATGAGCTTTTTAGACTGCCCAATTAATAATACCTCCAAACCCAGAGAGAACAAATGGTTAGAGCAGACAAAGAAAACAAATTTTACATGCAGAAAAACATGTACCCATGTTACAAAGGATATGGTTTACTTAGCAAGAATAATATCACATACTGACAAATCTTGTACCTATACAATTCTCTTGTACTCTGTCACAGAAAGCCTTCACAGAGCACTTTTACTTTTGGGATGAAGGCCTTCACATGCAAACAAAACTTAATGACTCATCTCATATAAAGTATTATGTTGAGGTAACATCAGAATTATTTCCATGTTGAATTGTAATACAATGAAAGTAATGCCAGAAGTGTCCACCCTGTCCTATATGCCGTGCCTACTTCTAAATTGCCGATTGGCTGTTCCTAATCTAATTCCACAAGCAAGCACTGAAAAAGCCAATCTCAGCAGTGTTTTAAAGCATTTACAGGACACCCATTCACAAATACAAGAAACACAGCTCACCTCCTACCAACATCCTAGCATGAGGACAGCAGGAACACTGCTCTGCAGCTTTAGAGCCATTTCAATGACAAAGGGAGCTGGTCAGTGCAAAGGCTTGGATCTCAGAGTTACCAATATTAGACAGACACTTGAGGCTCCACTTACACCACCTGCAACACTGCCTTTCTGTTCTGGTACCATTCTGCCCAGAAGCATTTGTTAACTACAAATGTTGCATATAACTAGAGGGTGTTTATAAAGCAATGTGTTCTCCAGAATGAAGGAATGCTATACCATCCTATTGGTTCAATGAATGTTTTACATTGACAGCACTTGAAAACTATGCAAATGCTACAAATGTCTGTCAGGCACCACTTCAAAACCAGGCCAGCAAGCGCAATATGCTTCAGTATATTGCAGTTTCCTAATACGTCTCTGCCAGGTTTGTTTATCAAGCAGTGCACAATCCAAACTACATTCAACACCAGCACAAATTTTCTTCATTCATTGCCAAGTATTCCAGGCTTTGGAAAAAAGAATTTAGATAGAAAAATGTCCAACCAACTGAAATCAGTGACATGGGGAACTGACCTTCGACAGTGACCTCAGCCTCAGGATTCTCACTTGTTTCTGTCATGTCATGCCGGGAGGTCTCTGAAAGAAAATAAACAGGACTGCTCAATGAAAGACATGGGTAAGATTTGACACCAAACACTCCATGCCCCTGCATCTAAACCAACACTCTCAAGTAAGCCTGCTGCACTCACACCATGCAAGAGAAATAGAAGCAAAGATATACTACCATGAGCCTTTGAGCAATTCCAGACAAAGTCAAAGAGATTAAGATTACACTTGCCAAACTGCACATGCTACACTGCAGAGTTGCTGCTATGACTGAAGAGAATTCCATCGTCTTGGCTTTCTAGGGTTAATACAATCATAAGTATTTTCCCCTCTCTTACACAGGATTACTAAAAATATAAATAAAGGTTGCCTGTAACCAACGATTAAGGGTTTTTTTACCATCGCTACATACTCATGGTTGACATGACATCAAGAATTCCAGAACAGGCTGCAGGGGTAGTCTATAATGATGATTGCACTGCTGCAATTCAACTACAAAGAGACCAGGGCTCTTATTGAATGCTTGCAAAAACTTGTCTCACTCCTGCAGCACAAAATAACCCAAAACCTTTTCATAAAACAAAGGAAGGAGATAGAATATTCTAGAAATTTGATCTTACCGCAATTGAACTCTTCTGCGTTTCTTCTCTCAGCACTAGCATTGTCATTTGCCGAATCAGTGGTCCTCTGTCTCTTGTCAGAGGGCATGTAGTCATCCTCATCAGCTATAGAAACAATAAAAAAAAACCCTTTTTTTTATCCAAGAAACTCGAGTGCAGCACTGGATCCCCATGAATTTCAAAACTAAAATAGAATTTAGGAACTCTGCTTAGCAGGACAACACATTTTACAAAAATACACAAATAACTTCAGAAAGCGCCTGTCCTTACCTGTGAAGAAACAACGTGCTCCTTCAAAAGGGCCTGTGCAAAGCACAAGACAGCAAAAAACAAAACTGCTTCTGGACTTCCTAAGGAAAACAACATTGGCTTCTGAAACAGGACTGGGCATCGCATGATGGGAAAACGACCATGCACCAGCAAAAGGAATCACAGAATAAATTGTGCAGATAGGGACTACCTTTGTTATCTAACTGGAAGTAATATCATTCCATAGCAGATCTCAAAAGACAGTACCTATGTTTTATCTTGAAGGGCTCAGATTTTCTAAACCCACTTTCAAACCAGTGTAAAACCAACGGGTGCTGAAGAACTACATCAAACTGGTCAACTCTGCCTTAAACATACACAAGTGGAAAGGCAGAAGAACAGCAGGAACACTGTTTTGCAGCTTTAGAGCCATTTCAATGACAAAGGGAGCTGGTCAGTGCAAAGGCTTGGATCTCAGAGTTGCCAACATAAGACAGACACCTTGAGGCTCCACTTACACCACCTGCAACACTGCCTTTCTCTTCTGGTACCGATCTGCCCAGAAGCATTTGTTAGCTACAAATGTTACATATAACTACAGGTGTTTATATAGCAATGTGTTCTCATGAAGGAAGGAATATTACAACATCTTCTTGGTTCAATGAATATTTTACATTGAATACACTTGAAAATTATGCAGAAGATACAAATTGCTGTCAGGCATCATTTTAAAATCAGCCCACCAAGTCCAATATGCATCACTATATTGTGGTTTCCTAATATGTCTCTACCAGGTTCGTTTACCAAGCAGTGCACACACCAAACCACAGTCAACACCAGCACATAACTATCTTCATTCAGATCTAAGTTATGCAATTAGTGGAAAACACATTGCGGATAGAAAAATGCCTCACGAATTGAAAGCAATGACCTGGGGAACTGACCTTCCACAGTGACCTCAACCTCAGGATTCTCAATTATTTCTGACATGTCATGCCGGGAGGAATCTGAAAGAGAAGGACAGGACTGCTCAATGATGCACATGGACAAGATATCCAACCAAGCACTCCATGCCCTGGCATCTAAACTAACACAGTCACAGAAACCCCTTGCATTCACAGCATGGTACAGTTCAGAAGCAAAGATATGCTACCGTGAGCCTTTGAGCAATTCCAGACAAAGGCAAGGAAATGGAGATTTACACTTGTTAAACTGCACATGCTACATTGCAGAGTTGCTGCTATGATTGAAGGGAATTCCATCGTTTTGGCTTTCTAGGGGAAATACAATCATAAGTCACCCTCCCTCTGTAACCCAGTATTACTGAAAATATAAACAAAGGCTGTCTTTCTCCACAAATAATGAAATGCTTTTACCATCTCTACACATTCATGGTTACTGTGCTATGATGATTTCCACAAAAGGCTGCAGGGCCAACAATCAAAAAGGGAAGGGAATTTCATGATCGCAATGCTTTTGTTGGGGCAGAGTGCATCACCAAGACATGTAGGATTAGCCAATAAACACTCAGTGTGAACAAGAGCAATTTATACTTAACTGCACTACAATTAAACAAAGTGAAGGTAATTGTAACAGAAACTTTATCAAAACTTCATTATCCATAACCTGCAGAATCGCTGCTGATTTTAAGGAATGGTACCCCTAACTATGGCGATACCTACCTTCCATCAAAACTAATGGCATTTGAAAGAAGAACATTGCTGCCAGCAAAACCTGCCTTGCAAAGCACACAACTCAGGCTGGAGAGCCACGTGCTCAGAGGAAAGCCACTGGCACAATGATGAGCTACAGTAACAATGCAGCGATCCCTGGATGCAGGGAAGAGATGATGATGTCTGGCTCCAGATCAGAAAGCTGAATGACAGCTTTATTAAAACTATACTATATTACATTCATATACTATTTAAAGAGATACCACACTATTATACATACTTACTTCTTACTTCCCTGTCTAACTAACAAACCTGTGACTCTCTGCTGAGAGCCTGAGACACAGCTGGATCTGATTGGTCATGGAACCCAAACAACCTTCACCAGAATCCAACCCAGCAATCACTGCAGGTAAACAATCTCCATACCACATCCCACATGGGGAAAAAAAAGGAGCAGGGATAAAGATTGTTTTCTCTTCTTCACTCTGTGTGTCTCCTGAGAGACAGAATTGCGTCTCTCTGTCCAGAGAATGTGAATGTCACAATGTGCTTTTCACATCCTGCCAAACCTTGGGTGCTTGTCACAAATGCCCTTCATGACTTAAAATAATGAAGACTACCATCACAATTTGCTTATACCAAGCCCAAGAGTGGTGTGATTTGGGAGATTAAAAGAAAAACAAAACAAAAGTCAGAAAAGCCAACGTGGTGGAAATATGAAAAGAGGATTTTTGGAGAAGATGTACTATTTCAATAGGTGGCATCTTTCCAAATATTTATATGAAAAAATATCCAATGATATTATTATAGTTATAAGAAACACTTCACATCTCAAATGCTCTGACTGTATTTGCACATCTTTTCCTTAACTGCTATCAGAATGTGGGTGGTTGCCTTCAAAAATATCAAGTAAGAAAACATATTCCGGAGTGCACAGAACCTTATAAAAGCAGACTGAGTAACGTGTCCATGAGCCAAATAAAACACAGAATAAAGGAGAGGTAAAGGACCACAAAAAATACCAGGTGAAGCATCTTTAACCAGACTAAATTGAAGTGCATGGATGCATTTCTACAGAGAACCCAACAGAAGGGATAAGGAAAGAACACAACAAAAAGATTTCAACATGCTCTGCATCTAATTCCACCTTCAAGTCAAATAATAAAAAAGGACAGTGGGAGATTATCGTGATAATTATACTGCTACAATTCACCAACAAAGAGCCCAAGGCCCTTAAATGAAGGCTTGCACCAACATGTCTCACGCCTGCAGCAAGAAATTTCCCACAACTTTTCATAAAACAAAGCATGGAGATAAAATAATCTTGAACTTTCATCTTACCAGATTTCAAATATTTTGCATTTCTTCTTCTGTTATTGGCAATTTCCTTAGTTGACCGGGTGTTCTTGGTTCTCCTTCTCTTTCTCTTGCTAGAGGGCAGGTACTCATCATCATCATCATCATCTAAAAGAAACAATTAAAAAACCAAAAAAGGTGTTTTGCCTATGGAAGTCATGTGCAGCACTGGAACTGCCATGAATTTCAAAACTAAAACAGAATTAAGGAACTCTGCTTAGCAGGGCAACAAATTTTGCCACCATTAACTTACATAAGTAACTTCAGAAAGCTCCTGACCTTACCTGTGAAGGAACAACTTGTTCCTTCAAAAGGGCCTGTGCAAAGCACAAGACAGCAAAAAACAAAACTGCTTCTGGACTTCCTAAGAAAAACAACATTGGCTTCTGAAACAGGACTGGGCATTGCATGATTGGAAAACAACGATGCAACAGCAAAAGGAATTACAGAATAAATTGTGCAAATAGGGACTAACTTTGTTATCTAACTGGAAGTAATATCATTCCATAGTAGATCTCAAAAGACACCACCTATGTTTTGTCTTGAAGAGCTCAAATGTTCTAAACCCACTTCCAAACCAGTGTAAAACCAATGGTTGCTAAAGAACAACATCAAACAGGTCAAATCTGCCTTAAACACACACAGATGAACAGGAAGGAGAACAGCAAAACCAGCAATGTGCCAGAGAGCTGCTACTCAGCCTGACACTTCCAAACCCACCCCTACCTTCCTTGAGCTAATGAGTTTTTTAGACTGCCCAATTAACAATACCTCCAAACTCAGAGAGAACAAATGGTTAGAGCAGACAAAGAAAACTAATTTCACATGCAGAAAAACATGTACCCATGCCACCAAGCAAGAGTACCTATGTATACTTAGCAAGAAGACTATCACATATTGACAAATCTTGTACCTATACAGTTCTCTTATACTCTGTCACAGAAAACTGTGCAGAGCACTTTTACTTCTGTAGTAATGGCCTTCACATGCAAGCAGAACTTAATTACTCTAATCATATAAACTTTTCTGTTGAAGTAATGTCAGAGTTATTACCATGCTGCATTGTAAAATGGTGAAAGTAATGCCAGAAGTGTCCACCCTGTCCTATATGCCCTGCCTACTTTCGAAATTGCTGATTGGCTGCTCCTAATCTAATTCCACAAGCAAGCACTGAAAAAGCCAATCTCAGCAGTGTTTTAAAGCACTTACAGGACACCCATTCACAAATACAAGAAACACAGCTCACCTCCTACCAACATCCTAGCATGAGGATAGCAGGGACACTGCTTAGCAGCTTCAGAAATGTTTATATACATGAAAGGGAGCTGGTCAGTGCAAAGGTTTGGGTCTCATAGTTACCACCGGCACAAAATTCTCTTAATTCAGTGCCAAGTAAGGCAGCCTTTGGAAAACACATCATGGATAGAAAAATGCCAAAAAATCAAAATTAATGACCTGTGCAACTGACCTTGACTAGTGATTTCAGCCTCAGAATCGTCACTTGCTTCTGATGAGTCATGCTGGGAGGAATCTGAAAGGGAAGAACAGGACTGCTCAATAATTGTAAAGATATTCAACCAAACACTCCATGCCCCGGCATCTAAACCACCTTTGTCAAAGAAACCCCTTGCAGTCACAGCATGCAACAAAAATAAGAGCAAAGATATGCTACCATGAGCCTTTGAGCAATTCCAGACAAAGTCAAGGAAGGGAAGATTACACTTGCTAAACTGCACATGCTACACTGCAGAGTTGCTGCTATGACTGAAGGGAACTCCATCGTCTTGGCTTTCTAGGGTTAATACAATCATAAGTATTTTCCCCTCTCTTACCCACGATTACTCGAAATATAAACAAAGGCTGCCTGTCCACACAGATTAGCTGTTTTTTTACCAGCTCTACACACTCATGGTTGCTGTGCCATCAGGAGTTCCACAACAGGCTGCAAGGGCAACAATTCAACAGGGGAGGGAAATTCATGATCACAATGCTTTTGTTGGGGCAGAGTGCACCAACAAGACAAGCAGGATTAGCCAATCAACACTCAGTGTGAGTAAGAGCAATTTATACTTAACTGCACTACAGTTAAACAAAGTGAAGCTAATTGTACCAGGAACTCTATCCAAATTAGGCAGCAGTGCATGAAGGAACAGATTTTAGTTATTCTGGCAGAGTAAAGCTGCACTTGTGCATTTTGAAGAGCATCTTCTTTCAGATCTCTGTAAACTGGGGTATGGTATCACTTTGGGAGCAAGTCTGAAGGAATCTTTATTTCAAAGGTTTCTCTTCACATGATGTGTCTGGTGTAGAGCTGAAATCCAGCTCTATCTACTGGGACACCTCAATTGCAGTACATTTGAACTATGTCAAATACATCATCCAGTTCATGGAAATCAGTATCATGTTTTGTCTAATTTCAAGGCAGTGCTGGGCACAGAACTAACAAGTGCTAAGTTCTACTAAAGAAAAAATTAGGAGTTGTTATACTAGACATGAACAAAAAATACAGTCATAAAAAAGCCAGTCACATGAACTGATCACTTAGAATCTGTTTGAGAGAAATCAATATGATTTAAAAATCTTAAAATATACTGCATTTTTGGAAATTTTGAGACTGGAAGATGGTACAACTAGTCTAGTACCAAATCCCTGACAAACACTCATAGTTATGGGACTTGTGCAAAAAATTCATACCAGATAGCAGCCAATTTCTGGAAGAAAACTCCCAGATGCGACATTTCTCATTAAGACACATTAAACCAACGGTGTTAAGCATTTAATTAAGTTTTGTTTTAACAACATATCTTCATCACTAGGTCTCTTCTCTTCTTGACTAAACACGTAGCTCCTACTTAAGAAGCCTTCTTCACAGTGCTAAATTCTGTCATTCACAAGCTCTGGCTCCAGTTTCTCAAACATGATTTTGTTCCCTTCAAAACAATTTCTTCTGACACACATAACCTCTGCTTTCCAACTGCTGAATTCCAATCACACCGTGCTGCCCACTCACCCAATCTCATTACGACCACACCAGGCACCTTCATCTGCTACAGCAACCCTGGGGGATTCCAGGCACTCCATAGTTTTGTCACTTCACTTTTCACCATCTTGCCAAGGTTACCAAAGGGAAAAACAGTGAAAACCCCCAGTGACATATAACAACAGTCAGAATTTCGGAATCTCGGCACTTCCTATCACATATCCCCTTCCTCACACTCTGTCCTCACCGTCAGGTATAAAGCACTATATATGGCATTATGCTGAGGAAAACAAACTACCTACATTTCTCTCCTCCAATGAGTTCAGGTCATACTGCAGTCAGAACGAGCAATGAACTTCATTCTCCTTAATCAGGAGAATTGCTGCTGAATTTCACGTATTGGTACCACTAACTATGGTGATACCTACCTTCCAAGCAAAACTAATGGCATTTGGAAGAAGGAGCACTGCTGCTAGCAAAACCTGGCTTGAAAAACAGGCTGGAGAGCCACGCGCTCAGAGGGAAGCCAGCCGGACAATGATGTGCTTTTCACATCCTGCCAAACCACTACACCTTGGGTGACAAGCACCTTACAAATGCCCTTCATGACTTAAAATATGACAACTCCCAACACCATTTGCTTATAGCAAGCCCTGGCATGACTTAGGAGTGTTGGGGGGGATAGGTATTTTTTCTTTCTCAGGGAATTTTCTTCCTATATGTTGCCAAGGAAATGACAAATAGATAGCAGTCAAGAGAGAAAATAGGTGGCTGATTGCCTTAGCATACTTCTGGAATGTTTATGGGGGGAGGAAGGGGAAGCTGGGTTGTTTTGACAGTCTCTTAGCTGGGTGTGGGCTTGTTGCTGATGTTGCTGTGCTTATTTCTTTCATCTTGTTACACAGATATAGACAGACAGATACATAGATTGATATAGACATATACATATGTGAAAAATGCAACTCACTTCCAAAAATTTAGAAAGATTTATTAAAACCTCATCAAAAACACAACAGAAGACTGAATGGAGAAAATATTTTGGCGCTGGGAGCAGAGGATCTTTCCCACCGTGTGCTCACCCACAAAATGGAGGTTTTGCCTCTAAACCCTTCAGCCCCTCCCGATGTTCTCTCAATGAACTCATGGAGTTCATTGACTCCTTCACTGTACAGTGGAGGAGATCGCTCCCTTAAATCTTGACTGGGGATCAGCTGTTGCCATGGTAACGAGCTGACCCTCCCAAATATCCCAAACCCAGAGCACCCCTGATAACAGCACAAGCGGGTTAAAACGTACCTATAAATCTGTAAAACTTCTCTTAACATATATACATGATATTTGCCTTTTACTTGTGAGTCAATCATAGCATTACACATCTATAACACACAGACTAGTAAAAAATAATTATTCATTTCCCTCCTCCTTTGCAGGGAAGCCATGTATTTCAATACCAATAAAATTTTGGATGAAGGAGGTCAAATTTCCATTCCAGGGAGGGCCCCTCCTTCCTTGGAACACTACTCTGTTTTAAAGCAATGAAAGGAGATGAAAAGTAAAACTAAACAAATATCAGAAAAACCAACTAGGTGAAAATAGGAAAAGAGAATGCTTGGAGATGATGTACAATTTCAATGAGGCAACATCTTCCAAATATTTCCACAAAAAAATATCCAATTATGGTAATTATTCTCACAAAAAATACCTCACATCTTAAATGCTCTAATTGCATTTCCACACCTGTTCCTGTACTGCCATCAGAACTCTGGAGGCTGCCTTCAAAAATATAAAGTAAAAACCATATTCCTGACTGCACAGAACATTATAAAAGTAGACAGATTAATGTGTCCATAAGCCAAATCAAACCAAAGCAAACCACAGAATAAAGGAGAGGTACAGAATCACAAAAAATACCAGGTGAAGCATCTTTAACCAGGCTAAACTGAAGGTTATCAATGCATTTCTATGGAAAACCCAACAGAAGGGCTCACAAAAGAGCATAACCAGAAAATCCCAACTTTCTATCTGTCTATTTATGTCATCATGTCAAATAACAAAAACCAACAGCGGTAGCCTATGATGATGATTACACTTCTGCAATACATCTACACAGAGCCCATGGTTCTTAAATGAAATTCCCAAAATGCTGTATATGTTTTATTTTTTTAGCTTCTCTAATTCTCTGAAAAACGTTCTAAACAATCAGTTAATGTGAGAGTTATTTTTGCAACTATACTGTTTTTTTCTGCAGCAAAAAATTACCCAAAACCTTTTCATAAAACAGAGGAGATAAAATAATCTTGAATTTTCATCTTACCAGAATTGAACTCTTCTGCATTTCTTCTACCAGTATTGGCCGCTTCAGTAGCCGACTTGGAGCTCTTCAGTCTCTTGTCAGGTGGTACGTAGTCATCATCATCTTCTTTAAGAAACAAAAAAAAGAAAAAAAATGGTATTTTGACCAAGGAACTTGTGTGCAACACTGGAACTGCCTTGAATTTAAAAACTAAAACACAATTAAGGAACTCTGCTTATTAAAAAAACCTAATTTCACATGCAGAAAAATATGCACGCATGTCAACAAAGGGTATGGTTTACTTAGCAAGAATAATATCACATATTGACAAATCTTGTACCTATACAGTTCTCTTATACTCTGTCACAGAAAACCTGTGCAGAGCACTTTTACTTTTGGGGTAAAGACCTTCACATGCAAGCAGAACTTAATGACTCTAATCATATAAACTTTTCTGTTCAATTAATGTTGGAGTTATTTCCATACTGCATTGTAAAAAGGTGAAAGTAATACCAGAAGTGTCCACCCTGTCCTATACGCCCTGCCTATTTTCTAAATTGCTGATTGGCTGCTCCTAATCTAATTCCACAAGCAAGCACTGAAAAAGCCAATCTCAGCAGTGTTTTAAAGCATTTACAGGACACCCATTCACAAATACAAGAAACACAGCTCACCTCCTACCAACATCCTAGCATGAGGATAGCAGGGACACTGCTCTGCAGCTTTAGAGCCATTTCAATGACAAAGGGAGCTGGTCAGTGCAAAGGCTTGGGTCTCAGAGTTACCAATATTAGACAGACACCTTGAGGCTCAAGATGCCACCTGCAACACTGCCTTTCTGTTCTGGTACCATTCTGCCCAGAAGCATTTGTTAACTACAAATGTTGCATATAACTACAGGTGTTTATAAAGCAACGTGTTCTCCAGAAGGAAGGAATCTTATAACATTTTGTCCGTTCAATGACTATTTTTCATTACCAGAACTCAAAGAAGTCACAAAAGATACAAATTGCTGTCAGGCATCATTTCATTACCAGCTCACCAAGTCCAATATGCATCACTATATATTGTAGTTTTCTAATACTGCTCCACCTGATCAGTTTACAAGCAGTGCACAATCCAAACTACACTCAACAACAGCACACGATTCTCTTCATTCAGAGTCAATTAATGCAGTTTTTGGAAAATACATTTTGGATAGAAAAATGCACAACCAACTGAAATTCAGGACTCGTGGTACTGACCTTCAAGGGTGACCTCAACCTCAGGTTTCTCACTTGTTTCTGACATGTCATGGTGGGAGGACTCTGAAAGGGAAAAAAAGGACTGCTCAGTGATGGACAGGGACATGATTTTCAACCAAACATTCCATGCCTTTACATCTAAACCATATAGGCAAAACCTTATAAAACAAGGCCGTATTACACATGTAAAATCATGGCTGAGGCCTGTTACTTCAGCTATGCAGAAAAGGACTATGGGAAAGTGACACAGCTGCACTGGAGGCAGAAAAACAAGTTATATAACCGTGACATGCTCACATTGTGGTTTAGAGTGGTTGGTTGAATTATATCTATTATACTAAAATGGAATGTAACAGATAATGGGCTAATGCTTAAAAAAGGCCTGTTTTTTGCAATGAACGACTCTCCTTTGCACCTGCCTGGGGACTCAACATCACTCTGCTCGGTACATTTTATCCTCACAAAAAACATTACACATCTCAAATGCTCTAAATGTGTTTCCACAACTGTTCTTTCAATACCATCAGCACTCTGGTGGCTGCCTTAAAAATACCAAGTAAAAAACATATTCCTGACTGCACAGAAGCTATAAAAGTAGACAGATTAATGTGTCCACAAATTAAACCAAACCAAACCATAGAATAAAGGAGAGGTACAGAACCACAAAAAAATCCCAGGTGAAGCATCTTTAAGCAGACTAAACTGAAGAGCGTGGATGTGTTTCTGTGGAGAACCCAACAGAAGGGATGATGAAAGAACACAACCAGAAAATCCTAACTTCCTCTATGATGACATAAATATCTAAATTTGATATTTATGTCATCATATCAAAAAAGAAACAAAAAACAGGGTAGCTGATTGATCATGACAATACTGCTGTAATACATCTACATAAAGCCCATAAACCTTAAATGAAATTCCAAAAAAAATTTTTTTTTTGCTTAATTCTGTCAAAAATGTTTTAAGTCATCAGTTGATGTGACTGATTTTATGTGACGATAATGAACTTTTTGGCATCACAAAATGAGCCAAAGCTTTTTCATAAAACACAGCAGAGACACAAAATTATCTTGAAGTTTCATCTTACCAAAATTGAATTCTTGTGCATTTCTTCCTCTAGTATTGCCGGCTTCAGCAGTCAAACTGGGGCTCCTCTGGCTCCCTTCAGGGGGTTGGTACTCGTCACCATCATTATAATCATCACCATCATCAACATCATCTTTAAAAGGAAAGAAAAAAAAAACTAGTTTTATGTCCAGGAAACTCGTGTGCAGCCCTGAACTGCTTTGAATTTGAAAAATAAAACAGAATTAAGGAACTCTGCTTAGCAGGGCAACAAATTCTGCAACCATTAAATTACATAAATAACTTCAGAAAGCTCCTGTTCTTACCTGCGAAGGAACAACTTGTTCCTTCAAAAGGGCTTGTGCAAAGCACAAGACAGCAAAAAACAAAACTGCTTCTAGATTTCCAAAGAAAAACAACATTGGCTTCTGAAACAGGACTGGGCGTCACATGATGGGAAAACAACAACGCACCAGCAAAAGGAATCACAGAATAAATTGTGCAGATAGGGACTACCTTTGTTATCTAACTGGAAGTAATATCATTCCATAGTAGAGCTCAAAAGACACCACCTATGTTTTGTCTTGAAGAGCTCAAATGTTCTAAACCCACTTCCAAACCAGTGTAAAACCAATGGTTGCTAAAGAACTACATCAAACTGGTCAAATCTGCCTTAAACACACACAAGTGGACAGGAAGGAGAACAGCAAAACCAGCAATGTGCCAGAGAGCTGCTACTCAGCCTGACACTTCCAAACCCAACCCTACCTTCCTTGAGCTAATGAGCTTTTTAGACTGCCCAATTAACAATGCCTCCATACCCAGAGAGAACAAATGGTTAGAGCAGACAAAGAAAACTAATTTCACATGCAGAAAAATATACAGGCATGTCAACAAAGGGTATGGTTTACTTAGCAAGAATAATATCACATATTGACAAATCTTGTACCTATACAGTTCTCTTATACTCTGTCACAGAAAACCTTTGCAGAGCACTTTTACTTCTGTGGTAATGGCCTTCATATGTAGGCAGAACTTTATGACTCTAGTCATATAAACTTTTCCTTTGAGGTAACATTGGAGTTATTTCCATGTTGCATTGTAATACAATGAAAGTAATGTCAGAAGTATCTACTCAGCTCCAAATGCCCTGCCTACTTTCAAAATTGCTGACTGGCTGCTCCTAAGCTAATTCCACAAGCAAGCACTGAAAAAGCCAATCTCAGCAGTGTTTTAAAGCACTTACAGGACACCCATACACAAATACAAGAAACACAGCTCACCTCCTACCAACATCCTAGCATGAGGACAGCAGGAACACTGCTCTGCAGCTTTAGAGCCATTTCAATGACAAAGGGAGCTGGTCAGTGCAAAGGTTTGGGTCTCAGAGTTACCAATATTAGACAGACACCTTGAGGCTCCAATTGCCACCTGCAACACTGCCTTTCTGTTCTGGTACCATTCTGCCCAGAAGCATTTGTTAACTACAAATGTTACATATAACTACAGGTGTTTACAAAGCATTGTGTTCTCCAGAAGGAAGGAATGTTATAACATCTTCTCCATTCAGTCAGTATTCTTCATTAACAACACTTGAAAATTATTTAAAATATACAAATTGCTGTCAGGCATCATTTCATTACCAGCCCACCAAGTCCAATATGCATCAGTATACTGTGGGTTTCTAATACTGCTCCACCAGGTTCGTTCACCAAGCGGTGCACAATCCAAACTACACTCAACACCAACACACAATTCCCTTCATTCAAGTAATGCAATCTCTGGAAAACACTTTGGACAGAAAAATGCCTGAAATCAATGACCTGGAGAACTGACCTGCATTATCAAACTCACCCTCAGAATCCTCACTTGTTTCTGATGAGTTAGGTTGGGTGGACTCTGTAAGGGAAAAACAGGACTGCTCAATGGTGGGCATGGACAAGATTTTCAACCAAACACTCCATGCCCCTGCATCTAAATCACCTTTGTCAAAGAAACCCCTTGCATTCACAGCATGCATCAAAAATAGAAGCATAGATATGCTACCATGAGCCTTTGAGCAATTCCAGACAAAGGCCAGGAGATGAAGATTACACTTGTAAAACTGCACATGCTACACTGCAGAGTTACTGCTATGACTGAAGGGAACTCCATCGTCTTAGCTTTCTAGGGTTAATACAATCATAAGTATTTTCCCCTCTCTTACCCACGATTACTCGAAATATAAACAAAGGCTGCCTGTCCACACAGATTAGCTGTTTTTTTACCAGCTCTACACACTCATGGTTGCTGTGCCATCAGGAGTTCCACAACAGGCTGCAAGGCCAACAATTAAACAGGGGAGGGAAATTCATGATCACAATGCTTTTGTTGGGGCAGAGTGCACCAACAAGACAAGCAGGATTAGCCCATCAACGCTCAGTGTGAGTAAGAGCAATTTATACTTAACTGCACTACAGTTAAACAAAGTGAAGCTAATTGTATCAGGAACTCTATCCAAATTAAGCAGCAGTGCATGAAGGAACAGATTTTAGTTATTCTGGCAGAGTAAAGCTGCACTTGTGCATTTTGAAGTGTATTTTCCTTTAGATCCCTCTATGCTTGAGTTATACCACACTGATCGTTTCTTTACAGATATAAAATAAGATAGCGCAGTAAAAATACATAAGAAATTTTTAACAATTTTTAATCCTTACTATTTAAAGTAAGGATTTTTACAGGAGAAATTTCAGAATTATTTTGTTATTGTGAACAACACTCAGAAGGTTGTTTTCTCATCTTAGAAATTCATGGTAGCAGGAACATTCTGACCTTACCACTAACACTACTGCAGTGTTAAATGCAGGGTAATATTTTCTAGTCTTTGCAAATGGGCAAACTCATATTTTTAATGTAAACTCTAAACAGTTGAAAAAAATGGCACCATTTTTTTGTAAAGGCATTTCAGCTATTACAGAGTTTCTGTAAGTTACTGTTTTGACTAACACAGACTTTTTATTTATTTATGTGCTCATTCACCTCACACTGAACTGAAAAACATAGTTAAGTTGCACTCACAACTTATAAAGCAGAGTTTTATTAAACTTTATAAGCCATTATGAAACAGACTGGATTTTCTGGGAAACATAGTAATTTACACAAACAACTAGCGCTTTAGAGTGATCAACTTGATGCTCATCTTTGAATTTAAAAAAGGAAGAAATTAAGTTCCTGTCTACATGTCTCTCTACTTGGACAGCTGGAAATTAAAACAACTGTAATTTTCATTTCTATTAATGTTTTAGTTCAATACCCTCAGTTTTATTGTAAATCAAGTAGCAAAGCTGTGAAAAGCCAAAATCACACATTCAATTTCTAAAACAGATGTGAGGAAAAAATACAAGCAAAAGATCTACCTGTGTAACTTTTTCCAGGAGCAATTTTTTCATCTATCCCTGATGTTTCGGAAGGGACTGCTTGAGAACAGAGAGAACAGTTTTTAGAGGTGTCTCACAACAAACACATACTTCCAGCCCACACAAGAATTTGCCAAGTAACTTTTCATTTCATATATTATGTGCTCACTTCATACTTTCTTAATGTTAAACTTTGGAAAGACTCTATTAAAATATTTAGTATTTATAAATCCTTGCTTACTTGGTTCAACAGAACAATAATGGAGTTAAGTGGCAGCATTGTGCATTTCTTGACCTACTCAACAGTCAAGAGACTCATGCTGAACAGCAGTCTTTCAGCTAATAAACAAATTTTTTAAAAAGAAATGTTGATGCTTCTGCCTTTCTTCAATGACATTTTAATCAGCTCCTGTTCATTAAGGAGTATTCTTTGACTTCAACATTCCTACCTACATTAAATACATAAATTAACGGGGATTGAAGTAATTTATGACACTCCAAGGCTGTTTACTTTTCTTTTGAAAAGAATAGTTCTTTCAAAGACTACAGACTGGTTAAAAAAGCCTGTGCAGAAAGGAGCACAGAAACTACACTTAACACTCTTAAAATGCTACTGCTTACTGCTCTGGCTCTCCTGCAGCTATGCCAGAAAGGTGAGCTGCTTACAGCACAAACAACACCACACTGAGCAAGAGGTCATTCTATACCACAGAAATAGCACAGGTATGGAAAACCTGCCTATGTGTGGTAAAGAGGAGTAACTGGAAATGATTTGGTCTAACTATTCTGTGCAAATCTGATCATTTCTGTGTGCGTTTGCAAAAGCCATCTGCAGAAGCTCATATAGCTGACCAGAAATTCTAGTTGTTTAGAGATATGTTCATAAGGGTATCAGCAAGAGTATTAATAGTGCCCCAACAAAAAAAAGCTACTGTTAATTAACAAGACAATGAAATATTTTAAACTCTATTTCATCTGCATGGTAAGAAAGAAAATACAGAAAATACTTATTGTCACAATCAGAGTTCGTAAGTATTTCGGTCAACTGGAAGTACATATACAGTATCAAATAAGTGAGTATTTAAGTATGAAAGAAAATAATGATAATTAGATGGTTACAATAATGCTAACTTGAACAGTTCTGCCTAACTTGATTGTTCAGATTTTTGAAGAGATTTAAAATAAACAGCATTTCAAGTGAGGAACCAATGCAAAGTTCTTGGCTTGAATCAGCAAGTGCTACTTAGATCTGCTCCTGCCACTTTTCTTTGCTGAGAAAAGGTGTTTCCTCTATTTTTTTTTTTTTTTTAATGTATTTACTTCAGAGGAGCTCCCTGATTTTGTTCAAAACACAGCTCCACAAAGACAGATGTTGGCACAGCTGAGACCATAGTCCAAAGGTGGGAAAAACGGGGAGGAAAAGGAGCAAGGCAGAGCCAGAGACACTGGCTGGTGCTCCAGGCCTCACCAGAAAGAATTCTCATACAACAGTGTGATCTACAACTGTTAGGGGTGAATAGGAATAGAACACAACCCCCCTGGGTGTGCTGAAAATGTCTCCATGGACTAAATTTGCTTTTATTTAAATCAGCATATTCAGCAGATGCACCCAGTCAGGTTTGTCATTTCCTAAGAACTCCTGTGAACATGCAATTATTATCACTCATAAGGCACACAGAAGTATGCATCACACTAGAACCAAATACCTCAAAATATGCACAGTTTTGCATTTATTCCTTAATTCAGAAATCCTGACAGGATTGTTTTACCCACATATTCTGCAGTATTCTCTGTACTGTATTATCTTTGTGCCAAATACATGCTGTGACAGCAATAAAAAAGGAAAACTAATAGTCTTTCCTGCATTTAAACTTGAAGAAATATTTCTCTAGTTAAAAAGATAAACTTAGTAGATTTATAGCCCCTGGGATTAAGCATAGAGAATTCAGTCCTTTTATCTGTAATACTGATAAAACCTACTGTACATGTAGTAAAACCATTAGAATTTTTTAGCAGTGACCAACACAGATTATTTCATTAAACTTGAACATTTTTTCCATATTACAAACTGTGGACAGAGTATGAAAAAGTTGTTTCTGAAATTTAAACATTTCAAACAATAGATTCTGCTACCCTAATTTAGTAAAGAATAGAAAATTAAATTTAAAAGAGTTCTACCACCAAGAGATATTAATAAAAACAGATACATTTCCACTTTACTGCACTAATGCACACAACAGGCAGAAATACACAGATATGACATAACTAAGGAAAGCAAAAATCAAGTACAGTGGTAACCAGATCAAAAGAAGTTCCATCCAAAATAAAGACACGAAAAAAAAAAATCACAAAATAGAAAAATAAGAAAAGAAAGAAGAACTAAATTCTACTACTGAAGGTAGGATGTAGGAGGAAGGATGGAGATAGAAGTGGGAGATTAATTACTAAAACCACAGGACACCTTAGAAATAAAATCTTTCAGTATGCTTATGTCTTGGAATCTGAACTTCAGATCTGTAGGCAGAGCTAAGCAGTTTCACCTTGAACCAGAGAAAGCAGAGGTGTGCTCTTCAGCTAACAGCCAGCTCTCTTACACAGCACAGGCATTTGGGAATTCTCAAACACTCAGAACAAAACTTGGTCTTTCATGAGCAGATAAATACATGACAGATCACTGCACCCAAAGCATGTGCTTGGTCTAGGATTCAGCAGGGCAGTGGAACCTCTGTAAGAGATGGCTGTTGGCATAAATGCCTGTTACAAATAGGTGATTTTTCACATTCCAACAAATCCAATAAAAACAAGTGTAGGTGTCGTTCCCTCAACAGTCACAATTATTCTTTCTGTCTAGCCCCCAGACACAATTCACTTACACTGATTTCAAACCTCTAAGCCTCAGTTTCTAATGGATTATGTCCTAATGTCCTAACACTCCACAGCCAAACCTGGGTCACTTGGCAGAAGGAATGGATTTATCACCTCATGGATAAGCATCACCAGCATTTTTATAGGTTACCCATAGAGTATCAATGTGAACTAGATGTGATTCCCCTCAAGAAGCACACAACATTGTGCTCAATATATTTTCTGGAATTTCTTGGTTTAAGGTAATACCTGGATACTCAGCATTACATGCCAGCCTAGCTTCACAGATTTAGCTCCATTAAAATGGACATTATGTTCAGTATTCTGAGAGATCTCCAAAGGAAAAATATTTTGTTGTTAGAGACATAGTAACAGATATTCATTACTTTTAAGGTTTCAGAGTGACAATAAATGCAAAGTTTATATTCACATTTAGGGCTTTTTCTTTGTAGAAGAAGACATTTTCAATCTCTTTTAGGTTTGGATGAATGTCCTGTATTTTAACTGCCTCACTGACATTGTCAAAAATTCCAAAACTGACAGCACAGTTCAACTACGTGGTGTTTTAAAGAGAAAAGCTGTTAGGCAGTTTTTTACTCACTTCTAGGTGTTTTATAAACTGAACCAGGCAATTCACAAGACAGACTGTTTACAGCCTTTTCCTTCTGCTTCCATTTTTCTTCGTTTTAACTTCAAGGCATCAGTGAAGACCTACATTCACAAAATTTACAGGATAACATGCCACTTTTACAAAGTATTTGGTCGTCAGTCAGCAAATAATTCAGTTCTGTATGGGTTATGCCACCAAAAAACCCTGCATTATCATCACATTACCCTGTGATGATAATGCACAGAGCACTCAGCAGTCACTCAGCAGTGCCACACTTTTGAGTCCCAAAGGTTTGTTTTTATACAGGACAAATGGGGTATTCTCAAATCTGAAAATACATCTGACTCTGGAGAAATGATTATTTAATTTGTTGGTTTCTAGTAAAAATACTAAATTATATTTAAACCTCTGAACCAAGAAACAGCATTTTCAGTTATGTTTCTTTTCGTAAGAGCCATGTCACTGATACTTACAGGTAATGTACATGCAGGAATACTAGCTAATGTAGCTGGAATACTCCAGGATGTGTTACTTAGTCTGATGATCAATACTCAGTCCTTTTCCTCATTCAGTCAATCACCAAAATCTGGACCTTATTCCCAGAACAGGTTGTCTTTGGTCTCCCTCAAGTTTAACACTGCAGTAGCCTTCACATTTGTCCTGGGCACTTGAAAAAAACATCCACTGCCATAATGCTTATACTAGTTTGAAAGCAAACCAGTGGGAGATTCCAAGTCAGAACAACCATTTAATAGGAGAATTAAAATAAAAAGAGAAAATGTGGGACTCAGATTCAGTCAAAGAAAAAAAACTGAGAATTTCTAGCCAGGCAGAAGCCTGGGAAAGAGCTGGAGAAGAATGTAAATAATTCTTTATCTCTCTTTGTCGTGGTTTGACACGGAAAGAGAATTTTCTCGGAAGGAAGAGGTCAATTTGGATATTGACCAATTGAAGGTGGACATGCCTCTGAGAACACAGAGGGGTTAAAAGCAGAATTCCCAGGAGAACTCACTCTCTTTGGTTCAGGTCAGCATGCAGTGCAGACTCTCCCCTGCCCGGCCATAAGCTGGGTGGGGAAGGGAAAAGCCATGTGGCCTTCGGAGGTAGGCCCAAGGGTGGAGGGACTGGAACCGGGCTGGGCCCCTGCAGATGGAAGGGTGGAGAAATCTGGGATGTCTCCATTCCCCCCCCCAGAGTCTCTCTCTCTCTCTCTCTCTCTCGAAAGAGACAGCGGTGGTTTTATCAGCAGTTCACCGCGGGGAAGGAGAAGAGCAGGGGGCCGCAAGGTGCCCCACTGCTTGTAGGAGTCGGAGATTCTGGGCAGCGAGCCATCTCTGGGAGTCGGGACTTTTAACCCTTCCTGAGAAATGAAGCTTTTGTGAAATATTACTCCTCCCTGATTTGAAGGAAAGAGAGACAGCCTGGGACCTGAGATTGTGAGGGAAAGAAGGTTGCGGGGAGATGATGGAGTGGCTTTTGGCTGGACTTTTCCTTGGTAACCATGCTGGGAAAAGACAGAAGTGGAGCAAACAGAGAAAAGTTAAGGAGGTTTGTGGTGGTGGCCCCTGTCTTCGCAGAGGAAGAAGAGAAGAAGATCTCTGTTCTTGGACCCTTGGCCCCAAGGGAAAATGGGGGGGACTGTGGTCCCAAAAATGAAAAACGGGACTGTTGTTTTTCCCCTCTTGGCAGGGCATCCTTGAAAGGAAAAATCCTAAAAGCAGTCTGTCCATCCATGCGTTGGTGGTGAGAGCACTGTGCATGGAAAGGAGAGGGTCACCATGGCAAACTTTTTCTCTGGGCGGTGCCATATGTGACATGGAAGCACAGGGTATGGCAGCTGTGTTTCTTGGGGGGGTCTGTGGCACAGGAGGGGCTCCTCTCTCCCTCGATGGACTGAGTATCGATTGTCTGGAGGGTGGAAACCTGACTGGGGTCCAGATTGTGTCTCACTGTGGTTTGTTGGAGTTGGGTGGTAGGAGAAGGAATGATTTGGAAGGTTTTAATTTTGAATTTTGTGTGTGTTTTTTTCCTTCTTTTTCCTTTTATAGTAGTATAGTAGTAGTAGTTTAATAAATTTTTTTTTCCTGTTATTAAGCTGGGGCCTGCTTTGCTCTGTTCTCGATTGCATTTCACAGCATTCAATTGAGAGATTGCATTTTCATGGGGGCACTGGCATTGTGCCAGTGTCAAACCATGACACTCTTGTTTTTCATATTGTTTATAGTTAAGTTCTATCACTGTGCGTCAAGCACTTTGCACCAATGCTGTGAGTTGTTTTCACTTCAGAGCCAATGGAATTAGTCCTCACTAAGCTCTGTATAAAAGAGCAATGTATTTTGAATAAACCAGAGTTTTACTCTTAGCAGCCTTCTGATCAGTCTTCTCATTCCTGTCCTGCCTCGACAGCGACAAGAAAACACTGGATTAAACTGACAGAGTCAGAATATAATGTGATACCCTGTTGGTCAGGGTGGTGGTAGCAGTCCAATTAAATGGTGGCTGCAGATCTGTTGGAGTGATAGATGTGGTTCTGTTGAAGCAGTGATCCTGTAGAAGGTTCTGGTCTTCCTCTGAAGGACCAGTGGTGGTTATGTAGCCCTTATCCTCTATGAATTCATTAAATAAGAATACCCATGGTGTTCCAAGCCTCAGATCGTATCCAGGTAGGAATGCTTGGTTCCTCCCCCTGGGCAGAGCATTTCCCAATGGGACGATGGAATTTATGAGTCATGCAGTGAGACTTGATGGCCCATTAGCAGAGACCACCCCAGAGTTATCAGGGATGAGTCATGCAGAAGAGATAAGGACCACTGCCCCACCTGTTCTAACAGTTTATGAGGCAGTTAATAGAATACATACTTTTGGTTACATCTTACTTTGTTACTTAAGACACTTCTAAAGCCCACTGACAGAAAACTGCCCCTTATTCTCTGTCAGTAAACCCACATGAAGTTTTAGATGGCTGAAGTCCCTATTTCTATTTCACAGTCCCTATTTCCCTATTTCACAGTCATCTTACTGTGTACTGCTAAAACCATTCTAAATTTAGTAATTCAGTATTAACTCATGGCAACATCTAAATGGTGCAACCTTAAACCAGGATGAGAAGAACATCCACCTACAGATCTAATTTTACCTCTTTGATTAACAGGAAAAGTTAGTGCGCCATCCAGGCACACAGCACATTGATCAGCATTAAAGATCTTAGAGAGGAAGCACTTAGAGAAAAAATACAACCATGAAATTTTATCGGTGAATCATTTTCTGCAGGAAGCCCAAGCAGACTGCTGCTCTCTAACACTTAAGTTGTTTCTTCTCAGAAATGGATAAGCCTGGCTTTTGCTGTAGGTTATTTTTAGCAAAATTTATTACCGTATCTGTTTGCTTTATTTTGTAGCACATCTCTTCAAAGGCAATGCTGGGGCAGACTATGTCATTCCTCAGAAACACCCCTCAGAATAACCACTTTTTAAAGGTTCACTTCTTGTACAGCACCACATAAACACCTATGTGCCTCCAGAATTTATAGCTCTATAATTTGGACAACCTTTTGGCTTGAATCAGAGTGGTAGCTGCTTGAAGAATGAAGGGGAAACTGCTTTACTTGTCTAGTCAGCATGACTTGACATGAAAGAGAAAACATCTTTTAGCTCACAGCACCCCATCACTTCTACCAATACACTCAGTTCTGTCTTGTTTTAAATGCTATTTTGGACAACTACACTGCAGGAGGAGAGGGGGAGTTATCCATCAAGCACCACTTTATCAGAAAGTGTTATATATTTCTCTTCATCAATTAGAAGGTTTAGAGTTCTGTGAAAGACAACAGAAATCCCCCCTGTCAAATGTGCTTAGACTTCATTCTGGAAGCATATTGCATGACTTGGATTTTTCAGCTGCAGTGCAATGGATGCTATTTTGTAGAGAAGCGATTTCACCGCAGACTCTCTTCAGATGAGATTGAGTTACACTGTGGGCTATTGGTCAAATTCTGACATCATTGGTATGCATGAAATGGAAAACCACAATGGGGATGAAAAGCAAAAGGATAAGAAGACTTGGTGTAGGAAGGAACAATGCTAAGGTTGTCTTCACACCGGTACCTCCTTTTACAACATTAAATCACGTCTGTAAACCACTAATTTGCCTAGCCTGTAAGCCTCCTAGGCCAGGCAAGGTACACATATAAAGAGCAGATAATCCTAACACACTTCCAGCTCTGCACTCAAAGGGTGACACTTCGCTATGCTATGGTTGAGGTCTCTCTGAATGATGCTTTCTTGAGATATGCTAGGATGAAAATACTGATTTCACATCCCCATAGTTAGCTATTAAAGCATGTTAGAAAATAGTCTCAAGAATCTTCATGTCTGAAGACACACAAAATATTATCACAATAATATATAATATTACAAAATGAAGGGATGTGCTGTTTTGCACTTTACTGTTGAACATGTAACTGTCATTGAGAGATGTGTGGTAGCTTGCTCATGTTTCCTTGCATTACTCAATTAACCTAACGACAAATACACATAGGTTGATATTATAAATTTAAGGTTTTAGTTATTTTATATTGCCATTTATAGTCACGATTTCTTAATTACCCTTCATGTCAACTGAAAGAAAAAACAATTTCTGTTTTCTCCTAGATGAGGTGAATGTGTAAACTGGATACATAGAGGTGAGGCAAAGCAACTGGGAGAAAACTTAAAACAGACATAGAGGTTGAACCATAGGCCTCATAAATATTGTTATACTTAGACCATGTAAATAAACTTTTCAAACATTTTGACACATATTGGTCATTCCATACAAGAGAAGTGATTGATACACTTCCAATCATAGAATCATAGAATGGCTGATTATGGGATGGAGTGTATAAAAGTTACTGAAACTTTAAACTAAAGAAAAAATTAATGCAGTGCCCTAGAAAGCATCACTACAAAGGCTTATTTCCTGCTTAACAAAGAAATTGAATTATAGAGTCTGCACATTATACCCTCAGAAAAACGTATCAAGCAGTTCAAAAGAGTCCTGGAACTTCTTCAGACCAAACACACATATATGGGTTTGGGGTGAAGTTGTTCTTCAGATCTTTTGGTATTCTTCATAATAACTTTTACATGACAGGCAGCATGGAAATGCTGTATCCTAACAGAGCTAAGTAATTGCATGTTTAATGACCAAAAATTAGTAAAAAAGAGAGGCATGGAGAGATCAACACTTAGGCAACCAATCCTTTCATGAGATAAACACATATGAAAATTAGTATCATTACCTGGAGTATTAAATTGATAGTAGTTAGGATCATCTCTTTCCTGCTTCATTGTTACTTCTGACATTTTGGAAGAAATTCCTGTGGAAGCAACAAAGGAATCAAATATGGAAACTAGCAACAAGCAGATTCTTAAAACAAAACAAACAAAAGCACTCACCATGATCCTTGTTGGTCTCTATTAAAAAAAAAAGAAAAAGAAAAAAAAGGAAAAAAGCATAAAACATTACTCATTAGTTGAGCTAAAACAACGGTAACAAAGTGAGCTGCTGGTTTTTTATATCTCAGTTTGGTCAACCCCAGAAATAATCTAGGATTAAATACCTCCCTACAAACTAGGCTTCCCTGCAGATGCTGTCTCAGATCTGAAGAATATTTTTTAAATGGGCTCTTTCCTCTTTGCATGCTACCACAGGAAAAAAATATATTTTATCACTCATTGTGCTGAAAGTCCTGGAAATGCTCCTTCACACTCTTCTGTGAGAATTACTTAAAATGCCTAAAAAGCAGCACTGGAAAGAGTCTGGGACTAACTTGGCAAAAAGTTCACATTAATCCATTGCGTATGTCAAGCCAGACATTAACCATGGAGGGTGCCTAAACCACACATTTAAGCAAAAAAGCTGGACTACATATGAAAACTTAATTCCAATAGGAAAGTGAGCAGTGCGGTTTAATCCAGCAAAATGGAAAGTCACCAGTTTATCTCCCAGCACACCTGCTGCCTCACTGGCTTTAATGGGGTTACCCATGCTTTTATCTCACAGCACACACTTCAGCATTACTCTGCCACAGATCACAGTGCCTTGGGGAATCATCTGCTACTTGCACAGCAACTTAGAAATGATCTGGCATTTTTAAAATAACAAATAACACATCTTGTTATTTAGGAACTTTTTATTTCTATTTTAGCTAGAAAATTGATGTTTTTAAATTTTCAATATTTTAGGAATATTAACAAATAAATTATTCTCTAAATTACATAAAGATAAATTTAGTCTACAATGTATTACAAATTTTTGTAATTTCCCTCTTGAAATGGAAGCATTTGGCTAGGGTTCAGTATCTGATAAAAACTCCAACTGAAAAATGGGCAGTTTCAAGGAAAGAAACGTTTTTCCATCTCACAAAGTATGTATTTTTTCTAATTTTCTCCTTTTTTTTTTTTGAGATTTTTTTTTCTGTCTTTGCTTAAGTTCAGTCTTCTAACAGAATCTGGCACTTTTTTTTTTTTTTTCTTTTTTTTTTTTTTTTCTGCAAATTAAGGCAAAATTTTGAACATACCAGAATCCTTGCTTGGTTCCGTTTTCACAGTAACAGGAGGACAACTAAAAAATTAACAGAATGACATTATTAAAAACAAACCTTAGATTTCTGGGAAGTTCTTAAAGCTTTATAGCTTGTTAAGCAAAATCAATCTCTCAGAATTTTTTCTAACAAGAATACAAAATTTAAAAACCCTGCACACTGGCTTATCTGATTTTTCACAAGTGAATAGCCAGCGATCTCCTATTCCTACATTTTTTGAGGCAGACACAATATTCAGATCATGTTTAGCATTTAAGGAGAGGCAAATGCAGAAATACAGAAAACTGATCCCTGTTTTCATATTAACAAATTTTTTATATATTTCAGATATAGTATCTTCATTTACTAATTTTAAAAAAATAACTTTTTTCAAATTGAGGATGGGGAATGAAGCAACATTACATCTGTTCTCCCTCACTGCTGTACCATAAAACATGGCAAACTTATCCCTGACAAACTGACTGTGAATTAAGAACACCCACTGGACTAATTAAACGGAGGAGAAACTTTGCCATTCGTTTAACTTCTAACAGTTTCCTCACAAATAATGATCAAAAGAAAGAGAAGATTGAGCTTCATGCTTTTTATAATGTCAAGCAAGCAAAAGTTATTCAAAGGTCAGCTGGGCAGAAAAAGCATATTAAGACAAAGATAACAACATGAAAATAGATAGATGATTAAAAAAAAATCTACACTGTTTTAAATTCACCTTTCACATGGGGGTGTAACTGAATGTGAAGGATCTGTCATATCGGCTTCTGAAAGTTAAAAGACAATATTTGAATTTCCTATACTCCATTTACTTGAAACACAAATTGAAAATATAGCACTGATTTCACAAAGCAAAAGCCTGTTCAAATTTTACAAGCATATCTGCAGATTTTCCTTATTCACAGATAATGAAAGATCCCATTAAACTGTACTGAGACACAAACAGCTTTAGAATGTCACTTAGCACACTGAAAACCTACCGTTATTTTTGATAGAACTATGTTATTACCAGATTTTCTGTAATATTCCATCTCTAGTCCTCAACCTGAGCATACGCAACACATCTCTGATTTTACTAATCAAGCATCGACTTCTGGCTCTTTCACTTATGAAATTAAACTTTTCTTTTTTGACATTCGTACAGAGATTGCTTCATCATTTTCATAAAACAAATCCCTACACTTACGCATTTAGCAAGTACAGCAACATGATACTATAAAAGGAAGAGGAGAGGGGATTTGTCCTAAGCTAGAAGTGAGTATTTCCAAAGTTTTACAAAACTCACTCAAGGTCAGAATTTTTCATATATAGAGGCTTTCAGAGGAACTACAACACCTAGCTACTTCAGAAGATTAAGTTACTTTTAAAAATTAAATATAACTGCCAAAATCAGCTGGATAGTGGAAAACAAGCACTAGGAAGTCTCGGCATCTTCTAAAAACTGAAAGCAGTCCTTCCTATGTTCACTTCTCCTTCTAGGATACTATGCAATTCATATTAGGTTGAAATTCACTATAAGGATGAAGAATGAAACAGAATTGAACTTGAGCAAGACATAGGATGAAACAGAATGAATTTTATCTCTAATGAGTTCTCCTGGGAAACACATAAAGGAAAGGCTTATATATAGGAAAGTTTTACTTATATGTAAGGTAACTCACAACCCAGAAATTTCTGCTCAGTTGCCACTTTATTTACGTGACCAAATGCTCTACATATATTGCTTCCTAAACTCAAATTTCAATCTTTTTCTGTTTAGTCTGAATAAACATTAACTTACCTACATGTTTCCTTAGTTCCAGAAAAGGCCTGCGCGGAAATATGGGAAGAAAAACTCCATTTTAGCAAAGACATTTTTAATTACTTGGTAGTGTACATTACAGAGAGAATTCCTGTGTAAGAGAAACAGTCTGCAGTGTATTTAATTAAAAATTAAAATTAATTTTACTTAAGTACAAAACCAAATTTAACAGACCGGCACAAGAAAGAGAGTAAATAACCTGTTGATACTAAATGTGATCCCTGATTTATTTTCCAAAATCCATTTCAGAGTGGAAACATCATAATTTGATGGATGTTTAAATGTGACTCCTTCAGGCAGGCCCTGCACTATCACAACAGACTGGTTCCTCTGAATCTCTTCGAATGTCACAGATACTGCCGCTGACTTTCCTAAAGCTTTACCTAGAAAAAAAGAGAGGAGGTTGTTTTGATGTTGAGACTGCTGAAGTTAGCAAAAGGATGAGTCCCTCATAAAACTTTGTAACTTTGGATAGTACTGGAGCAAAAGCAAAGTGTGGATGCGAATCTTCTCAGAAAACCAAATACTGCTGGCACTAATATGCACTGCGCAATAATCTCAAATCACATTCTACAAAACACACCAAGAAGAACCACTATATGTGTATTTTTTAGAAACAGCTACTAAAAATTTCTAAAAATAACACTGTAGTTGGAAGGCTAAGATCACACAGTTTTTTCCTCCCAAAGGGAATAAAAATTTTAAAATCTAGAACAGCTCTTCAGAAGAATTTAAAGCACCCACCATATAAAGAGCAGAAAAACTCCTCCACAGACTTTCTAAGAGCCTCCAGCTCCTCAGCATCCACTGTCTGTCTGTTTACAGGTGGTGTAGTCTTTTTTTTCTGCAGCTTTGGAGGCCTGTCCTCTTCTGAAACACCTGGCAGTTATTTATAAAAATAAGACAAACATAAAATAGTAAGTTATTAGAAGTGCCTAGCCCCACTTTAGACTAGATATTCTCAAGCAGGAATCCTGACAGGAATTTGCAAGAATTTACTTGTATTAGAAGCAAATGCACGCATCTATACACATAAGCAATGAGCAAACTTAAGTTTACACCAGAATTATTATATTCTCCCTACAATCTCTGCAAATATCAGCCCCTGAAGAACATGAATGACAAATTAAGAGACACGTCCAAGGAGGCTTTTTTCTGGCATGAAGAGGTTGAAAACACTATTAATCTCATGGGAGGACAATACAGTCAAAATAAAATGCTAAACTGCCAAGAAAAGAAGGACCAACAGAGTCACCAAGGAAAAGGCAAAATGCCAGTGTGAAGGGTCCCATAGCTCTTTAGTGCTGTGCATGTCATCTCACGCAGCAGTTCTATTATATCCTGGTTCATTTATTCTGTATGTTCTTTGCAGAACATTTTACAGAAGGGATCTGACTTTTGCCATGACAACTCATCTCTTTCAAAGGACATTTTAAATACACACCTCCTACTGCTGAATAAGAGGAGCTACAAACAAGACATCATCACGTAAACAGAGAAGATTTCAGCCCTACATCTTGTTCTAGTCTCTAAGCAAAAGTCACTGCAAAAGGAGTGTGGAAGTAAGAACACTTCCAGTATTAAAAAGCAAACAGAAGCGATGGGTTTGGGTGGCAACCTTCCTTTCTCATAATTCAATTCTTGCTAAGATCTACTGAGAATCATCTAGCAAAACCAGAGGCAAACAAGATATATGCTTGCCTACCTTGAAGGAAAGGCAAGGGAGATCTGTGTTCCTTTGTGCAAGAGCATGATCAGTGCTGAAGCTGTGTCATGACTTCACCACGAGCCAGCACAGCAGTAAGCCTGAAACACTGCGATGTGCATCACCAGGACTGCTGGCATCAGAATTCCACACTGACACAAGAAAACAAACATCAGTTTGAACAACTGATTACAAATGGGCTGTGAAATGAGCTGAAGCAGCAATGCTTTTAATAAAAATCACAATTATCTTAAAAACTCATATCTTCATTTCAAAGAGAATCTCATCCTTCCTCTGCAGATCATACATCTGCTTCATGCCCTGGAAACTCACCTCCACGTGACATTTAGCTTTGCCAGCTCTTCAGGCCTGAAACTTTTATCCTGTCTGCAGTATGACAGGACCTATCAGAACATGAAAAATAATGCAAAACTGGGATATTGTTATATACCTGTAAAACAGGTACTTAATCAATGACAGCACTTAAGATTTGCCTGCGGACTTGGGATAAGACATCAGTTTCCACTTACAGCTACATCTAATGTAGCTTTTTGAGTGGGTGTTTTTTCCATGTAAGAAACTGATTCACTGAAAATGCCTTTACTGCCAGCAGCTTCAGAAAGTGTTCCTACACTTTCTAAAAATATTAAACAAACCAAAATAAGGAAGACAACACTGCCCTCTTCATATGAAGGTGAAAAGCAGACGGAAAGGTGGCGAAATTTTCTTTCTTAACTAGAAGACAAACCTTTATAGGTTTTTATATTACATTATTTTTATGCATTTTCCTAAGATCACATTATGCATCTGCCTCCCTAATCCCGCCTATAATAGTTGGCCAATTTTAATCAAGAATCACAAACAAGACTAAGTTTCAAATGCAGCAAGATTTGTAACAGCCCTGCACAACTGATCAAACCTAGCAGACATTGACTCCTCCTGGCAATACCGATGGACACATGAACCCTTGGAGGTTACACAACTTCACAGGCTCTTCCAAAGCCCTTGCCACAATTCCTGGAACCCAGAGCAGGATTAGGGCTACATTTGGGAGGCCATGTCTCGGACACATGCAACAAGAGCTGGTGCAGAAGAGGGATAAGGGTGCTGTATTTATGGCTCATGAAGGGTGAGGAATGGTTATATGGTAAAAGAATAGCATTCTGCACTGTTGTGAGCATCCTGTGCAATTAGTTTCAATACTCTTCTGGATTCAGCAGGACTACAACTCCCAATCACCCTCATTTTACAATGAGAGTCAATATATGCTTGCGTGTCTCTTATTTTCTTCGACTGTCCAGTGTTTTGGTTCTTCAGAATATCCTTCCCTGCAGATCTGATAGTCCAGCATACTACTTAGCTGGAAAAGGAATCTCCCAGCTGTCCCCATTCCAAGCAACAAATCCAGCACTGTCCTCATCTCACCAAAGAACAAGAAACAAAGAAATCAAGCTTTAGCAGCAAAACAATTTAACTGAAACTTCCTCAAAAAAAGACCTGAAGATGAGATGCTCAATGGAGAACAGCTGGCACAGTTTGGTATCTGAAGCTGATAGAGCTCAGGACTCCTCTAGCAAAAGAGCTGTCAGTCCCATGGCAGCTAAGGCATCTTAGAACATCAGAAGGTTTATAATAAAGTGGCCTTCAATCACTCAGGGAGAGAAAAACAAGAAGTAATTTTAAGAATATGAATGTGACCCCTGCGCAGGCACCCTGAGAGGCAACTTAAGAGCAACAACAATCATGTGACACCACACATATACACGTATTTCATTATTCGTGCTTAAGGAAAATTACTGCAATAAAAGAGGGAAAGTAAATGGGTGCACAGCTAAAAGCATTTTGTTTTGGTTATAATGTCATTCACTCAATTAATCTGTGAGCTTTTTAAGGCCATCCAGCTTTACAGTTCATAAAATTGGAAAATATCCTCAAATTAAAGAAAAGTCATTTAATAATTATCAAAGGATCACTTGAACCACACAAAAAGCAAATCACCTGAAGCAGAATTTAGGAGGCGTGAAATTTCAAACACACTATCTACAGTAACATTGTTTGTTGTCAACTCTGAGGGAACAAGATGTGTAGTTTCAGGGAAATGGGACTGAACTTTCCCCATAGGTTTTTATACCAGCTGTTAATTTCACACCCCTTAGCTGACTAGGCAGAGAAAGAACATTAAAGGTTTGAGGCAATCAAGCCAAGCAACCTTGCTGTACAAGTTACTCAGAAGGATTCAGTGAGACAGAAGCCTAGCTGCAGATCTTCAAGCAGGTCCACAGTATCTTAGTTTATGGGAAGAAAAGACATTTTACTTGTCTGCAGATGATGGAATACATCCAAGAGGAAACAGTAATTCACATACCAAAAAAACATACTGAGGAGACAAAGCTGAGCAATCTTTCCCATAAAGCCTGCATTCCATTCATTCTTCCTGAGCAGCAGGAATGGCTACACATGGAATGGCTAAGTGTTCTTACATTAAGGACACTCAGATTCTGAGCTCTCCTGAAACTACAAGAAGTTCTCACATCCTGTGGCTGGGTGGACATGGAGGTACAGGTAAGGAGGGTAGAAGACCCTGGCCCAAAGTCTCTAGCAGGACTTGAAGTCAAACTCGGACTCATACCAGATGCATTGTTATGATCAGTGTGGAAACCCAAGGCCATCAGAAGAAAAATGAAGGCTGCAAAAATAAAGGACCTATCCAAGATGAACTACCTACAGGTGCAAGATGGCCCCATCTCAGGGAAGTGAGCCCAAAGCCTTGGCATCACCAAGGAAAAAACAGCGTGAATGAGAGAGCTGTCAGAAGTTGAGAACTAGCAGGATTAAGTTTTTCTGCAACCTACATATCAATGGTGTAGCAGCCAATACCAGTAGAAATGCTAGCAGAGGCAACTGGGATTCTTGGAGAACTGTCTCCTTGGCAGACGGGATGGTACACATGGTGCTGGGTAAATATCTTTCAAAGTCCAGAACAGGTGACCAAAAAGGTGCTTCTGAGTCAGGATGCTGTTCTGAAAAGAGTCTGTCAGCTCTTCTGACAGGCAAATACATCCTGGGGAAAATATGGCTTCCTCTGGGTTTTGGGGTTTCTTTGGCTGTCTTATAAACTATCTCCAGCTCACATTCAAATGAGAATGAATTCCACAGAGCCCAAGGGAAACTTCAAGATGACAAAGACGAACACTGAAGAGTACGGCATTCTTCAGATACCCCAGGAGTAAGTCCCCTGTTCAGGACAGCTGATATCCACAACTCCAGAGCAATCCAGAGGCACTTTATCTTGCCAAGTCCACATAAGAGGAACTGAGGACCACACAATACACTTTAGGAGGGGACAGCAACTAGAACAAAGAAGTACTGGTAGAGCAAGATGTATATGATCTTGACTGCTTACAGTGCAGAAGTATCTACACTTGTCCATATGCTCAATATGAGCAGGTGCTCAAAGAACATACTCTTTCTATATACAATACAAATTTACACAGGCCTGGAATGTCTGACACTGCAGGTTACCCAAGTCACATGCTCAGGATACAAGAACATGCAGTTCTACATTGATTGAAACAGACTATTTCACCATGACATAGGGCTCACAGCTATCTTCATTAAGCAGCGTTCAGAAGAATACATTATCTGATTCAGTTTTAAATAATTAATGCCAGTTGACTGGTTTTTCAACACTTACTACACAACCATGCTAAAATTTTAAAAAGCATTGTTATTATTAATTCCTAACATATTTTCTTAAGGTAAGAAGGTAAATGAGCTATGAACAGGGTTCCTCCTTGCCATGCAGGAGGGCAAGGTGTTGGGGAACCCACGTGGGTCAAAGTCATCATGAATGAAAGCCACAGGAAACCAAACTCGAGTGCTGCTTTCACTGAACCACTATTATTTTTATCAGTTCTATACTGCTAAAAAGTGTACACGCTGCTTCCTTCTGAAACCTCATAAATACATTTCATCAATTTAGCCCACTAAATTATACTCATTAATTTAAAAAAAGCAGCGGGTTTGAAGCCTGAGCCCTACAAATTCTGAAACACTTCACACACTACTCAACTTATACAAAGCAGCTGTGAAAAATGTGGAAATAAAGACTGAAGATATGTGCTGGCTTGCACAGAGTCAGACATAACCAGAGGTATGCTTAGTAACTGGAGTTCTGTTCCCATATTTGAAGAAATATGAAGATACCCAAAAGTGGAGAGGTAATTCTCAATATTGTCAGCACCATGCATTCTAGACACTGACATCACTGATGAATTTTTAAAGGTTTAACTCTAACAGCAAGGTCAGAATCTCTTAAAAGCCTTTATCACTCCTAAAGTAACAAGAAGGATTCAACTCTCACTTGTTAAATACACAAAGAACTGTGTCCTTCCTGGATTCTTACAAAACACCTGTTAAAATCTCAACTACCACTGCCTATTGCTTGTTTTCATACTGAACTGAATAAACAATGTATGAGGGGAAAGGAACTGTTGCCTCTACAGCTCTACATTTTAGAGCAGAAGATATTACACTACAAACTTCATCAAGACTTCAAAGCTGTCAAAGGCAGTGATGGAATCATCATCACCAGGAACATGTAATGCTATTATTCCTAAAAATTGTTGTTCTGAAGTAATCTTTTCTGGAATTATCAACATCGTTCTCAGGGACAAAACAAAACTACTTCCAGCATCAAGACTCCCCTGAAATCATGGGAGATGTGCACTTAGTGAAACCATGAAAGCAATGACCAACATTGGTTGACCTCATTCACACAGATCTACACCATAATGTTCTGCAAGAATCATAATGGAAAGAAACACTGTTTTTAAATTTAATATCCTTTCATCTTATCAGCTTGACAATACAAAAACACAGCCCAAGAATGAGTATCTTGTAACTGGAATGAAGCAAAAGGTGAGGATTATCAAAACTGATGTAGGACTTAAACACAGGCATGCATCTATAGAAACCATATATCATATAGCCAAATACAAGCCTGGATGAAAAGCCAGTGCTTCCCATAGTACAAATCTGAAACAGAGATCTAGCCAGGAGATCAAACAGCAAATCCCCGTAATTTCGGGTTCCCTACTAATAGACGTGTCCAGTACACCAAGTCCCTGGTATATCAGGGGCCATGACACCACTGTACTGGCAATAAAACATAGTACCTAGGATGTCAGGTAAGTCCTTTAAGCAACAAAAACAAAACAAAAAAGCAATCAGGTGAAAAAGTGAACTCCCTCCCCAATACTCAGATAGCAGTTTTCACAAGCAACAGTATACGACGATTGTCCCTGTAATAAAAGAAAAAAAAAGAAAAAAGAAAAAAAAAGAAAAAGAAATTGATTCATCTTATACTTTTATACTTGATTCCTCAATCAGGTTACAATTCTACATTTTGATATTAGTGATCTGATACAACCCAACATTGTGGTGACTTTCCTTGGAGTAAATATATGCACAGGAAGTCATTGTCCATGTCAGTAGGACAAAAAAAAAATCCAGAGACCTATTGTCTTAGGCTGCAAGATGTGTATTCTATTGCCATCTTTTAGGGGGAGGGCAGTTATCTTCTGTAATTGGGCCACCTGTCAAAACCAGGTGGGGCAGTTTTCTTTATCTGTTCCACAACCAATCCTCCCTCCAGGAGATCTCTTCTGTTCATGGGCCACTGAGTGTCCCTGCATGGCTGAGAAAATTCCATCATCCCATGGGGAGATGCTCTGCCCAGGGGAGGACCCAAGCATTCCTACCTGGATACAATCTGACCTGGGAACAGCACAGCAGCCTTTGCCCACTGCATTCCCAGAGGAGCAGCTTTCTTCCCACTGCATTCCCAGAGGAGCAGCTTTCTTCCCCACTGCATTCCCAGTGGAAGCCCAGGCCCATCCCCACCACCCCTGGAGCTCCAGAGGAAAACTCCCCCCTTGTGCAGGATCCTGCTCCAGCAGAAGCACAGCTGGCACTGCAGGAGGGCTGAGCCACCCTGGGATGGGACTGCTGCCATCACCCTGACCCACAGTGTGTCAGCTCCTATTCTCACTTTCAGTGTTGTTTTGGTTTTTTGGGGTGTTTCTTTGTACTATTGCATTTGTATTTTAATTTTCCTAATAAATAACTGTTATTCCTATTCCCATATCTTTGCTTGAGAGCCCCTTAATTTCAAAATTATAATAATTCAGAGGGAGGGGGGTTACATTTCCATTTTAAGGGAGGCTCTTGCCTTCCTTAGCAGACACGTGTCTTTTTCAAACCAAGACACCTACCACAAACAACACCTTGAGACAGAGCCTCCAAGACAATTTTATGTAGCAGCAAAAGCATTTTTAGGAGTAAGTCTTTCTGTTACAGACTAAACACAGTTGCTTTCCAAGCAGTATTTAACTCGACAACAACTTAACAATTTTTTAAACTCCTCCTCAGACTAATTCTTCTGTCATACCCTACCTTTGATCTCCATCTTCTCTCTTTCTCTAGGCAAATAATTTTGTTATTAGGCAGCGTCCACCACCACCACGTTCCTAAATGAGAGCATCAAGGCTCCCCTAAATCGTCACTGAATCCTTGAAACCTATCCCTAAAAATACTGTCCTGTATGAATGAATTGAGTTTTATCAACACAAAAGTTCCACTGTTTTACTGTAAAAATGAAACGGAACAAAAAACACAACCTAGGTGTACTTAAAGCAGTACAAAAGTAATGTGGATGTAATTTTAAGTCATTATGATAGAGATGCGTATTTCTGTCTACAAAATAAAAGTGATATAAAATAGCTACATGAAAAAATACTATCTTGTCAAAACTGCAACAGAAGTACTTTTCTTCCTGTTCAGTGCTCTCCTCAGTCTTCCTGAGTGGAAAAAAAGGTTTGGAGGAGGGGATACAAAAAAAATTAACACACACTAGAAAATGCTGCATGTTTTAGAAGGGTGGACTGTCTAATACTTCTTATTGTACTAGTTTTCACATTATCTAAGAAAAAAATGAACATTTTCAGCCATTGTAGAAACAACACTACAAACACGACCACTGTTACTGCTCATTTTACAGCTTGATTTGCATTAGTTAACATAATTATAGCACACAGCTGTGACAGACAAGAATTTTCCTCCCAAAATTATTAATATTATGCAATATACATTATGCAGCTTGTGACATACAAAAATAAAACATTGAAACTTACAGTATTCGATAAAATCTGTCTTAAAATCTTCCCTAGAGTTGACAAAGGCTCTTCCTCTCTCAGTTCCAATAACAAAAACATTTCTTGCATATACACCAATACAGGCAATTTCTGCCTTGGACTTGGAAAGTTCTTTACACTATAAAAAGAAAAAGAAAAACTTTTATTTTATTACCATAGTTAAGATAGAGTTAGTAAAAATGTATATGATATTATGTAAAACAATTACTATACTACTGCCAGCATCCACTCATCAGAAGGTACTGTGAGCAACATAACATCAGCCAGTAGCAAAGCACAATTTACACATCTGGAATGCTTTTCATCAGAAATCTTAAAAGCACTGAAGATTAGCAAAATTAAGGCCTTGTATAGACTCAGAAATTGCATTGTTTTTAATTAAAGTTATTTATGACATTAATTCATGTTAAATTACCATTTCCATGGTAATCATACTGAGTGTCCTACTCCAACTTCCAACAAAGCACACAGAAGTTTCACATATTCACAGCACACTTCTCACACACCATCTTCTGTTCAGAAAGGTGTGGCTGCAAGCAGGACGGCCCCCTGTAGTCTGCCCTGTCCTGTCTGCTGGGCCCAGCCTCAGCTGAATGCCCCATGAACGCAAGGATTGCACCATCCCTGCAAACACCTACATATGTTCTGCTGGGATAAATTTCTGGCAAGAATTAAGGCAGGAAGCCTAGGGAGAGAACAAGGATCCCAAGAAAACTTGTGAGAGGACCAAGTAGTGATCACAGAATGTCAGTCTCTCCTAGGAACTAAATCAGAGTTTGCTATAACCTATAAAAAAACACAGTTGCAGCATGGGAGGAAAAAGTGACACAAAGACTTTAAGAACCAATGTGATAAAAGATTTGCAATATATTGTCTTATAACTATTCCACTTTTAGCAAGTTTCATTGCTAAAAGTAAAATGTTTTTTCTTGCTTATTATTTAAATACTCCAATTTTTAAGAAACAAATCTTGGACAGTGCCTCAATTGCAAGGAAAAGGGACAGGTATTTCCACTCACAGCCCCAACCAACCATAAACCTCGCCAAACAATTTAATAACTTCTAAAAAACAGATGCTATGTCAACATATATGTCAACAATATTTTCTGAACAAGTTCTGTTGAGTTGGTACAGCAGCTGAAGACAACACAAGTCTCAAAACCATTTAGTCACTCTACATTACATATGACAAAGACCAGAACACACTTTTGCCTTTCAACCACGCTGTACCTGAGCAATCAACAAATATTTCCCATTTATTTGAGAAAATAATTTTTAAAACAAACAACAACACAACAAGAAACAAGATTACTGACAGCATGATTTATCACAAGCAAAGACAGAATTACAGCTGTTTGGACAACACACATTATGGTACAAATACAACAATCCACCCTCCCTGCTGCCCAGTGGGAAGCAATATACTGATGTAATCCTGCAAATACCAAGACAGATTTATGATGCAGAAACTTAACTTCTCTACTAACCAGTGACTCAAGTCCTGACATGAGGAATGTAACCACCATTCTGCCTTCCAAGGATTCCTCATCATGGATGGATGTTGCTGGTGCAAGAAGTTGAGCCATTTTTCTCCTGTAAAATGAAAGGAAAAAAACTTTTCAGATACATAAAACAGTGCAAAAAAATGAAAGCCTCTCTTATGCAAGCAAGAAAAAAATAAATTCAAAATCCCACAGAACACAGCCCACTACACACAAGCAACCAAAAACTAGGTAAATTAACTGGAGAAAGTGCTTGCTCTTCTTTCGCACTTCCTGCTGTTTCATCCAAAACTGGAGCTAAACATAAGATAAAATGTTGTATCATGATCTGACCACAAACTATCTGTGCCCAGGAAAATGCATTTTAATTGATTACCTGAATTTGCATTGACTTTTCTTTCTTAGTATGTCTAGATAAACACAGCAACAAACAAACGGCAAATTGTAATTATGACACAGGTCATAACAACCTTCCCTTATAACTACGATAGCCTAGCTCAAAACAATCACCACCCTGCCCCAAAATCACAGCCTCAAAGACTACAGTATCAATAACCAGAATGTGACATTCTTACTTGCATATTTTTCAGTTGTAGAATTAACTAAGAAATAAGTAGTCTCAACTAACGTGGTAAAATTAATAACTTAATTTCAGCATCCCTTCTTTCTGTAGGGCATTCAGAAGATTTTCAACTTATTTTTAAAAAGTAATAATCAAGACTTGCTTATGCTTCTGTTGGTAGAATTGTTTATGCAAGACTGATATATGAGAATGAAGTTTCAGCAGCTTCTAAGAGCACATTTTTCTACTGGCATGTTGCAACTTCTTATGTTTACAGATATCTAGAGCAATAACCTGACATGCCTGGAGGAAGAGAGAACTGGTAGATAATTTAGCTGTAACAACTCCACATGCAAGTCAAGAAAAATCACCTCAAGAGACAAGACATATAAGGTAAACAAAATATTTCAGAGATTGATAAGATAGCTTGCTGCTCCAGTAGAACCTGGCCACACAATGTGGCTCAAGTTTTCAAAGCCGACATGTATCCTATTACATATATAGATAAGTCAGGGCAGCACACTGCATGTGATAATGTGCTGACTTCGGGGGAAAAAAGGCACTGTGCTGTTTCTAGGGCTTACAGCGCTTCAGACAAATTGGATGGGAGGGGAAAAATACCTCAGAAGCCCAAATGATAAATACTGCAAACTCAAAACACATCTAGCAGCCTTCAGGCTCTCAGGCACAGGCCAGCAAACTACATTTTGGATTAAGTGAATGACACAGTGTCGTGGTTTGACACGGAAGAGAATTTTCTCAGGAAGTTGGTAGTAAAACCAATCAGTGTCACATTTGGATATTGGCACCTGGAGTGACCACTGAAGGCTGGATACACCTCTGAGAACACAGGGGGTTAAAAGCAAGAACTCCCAGGAGAGAGCAGACCTCCCCTGCCCAGCCACAGGCTGGGTGGGTGAGGGGAAGCCATGTGGCCTGGAGAGGTAGGCCAGGGGTGAAGGACTGGAACCGGGGGTGAAGGACTGGAAGCGAGCCAGCTCCTTCGGAAGAAAGGGCGGAGGAAGGCTGAAATGTCTTTGTTCCACCCTCTTCCTCCAGCCTAGAGGGAAAGAAACAGAGAGCCTGAAGACACTGGGAAGTTTGCCAGCAGAGGAGAAGGAGAAGGGGGCGGGAAGGTGCCCAGCGTGGGAGATGGAGTCTGGGCCAAGATTTCAGCCGTCCAGGGAGTCCAGGACTTTTAACCCCTTCCTGGGGAATAAAGGCTTTGTGAAATATTACTCCTCCTCGATTTGACGGAAAGAGAGACAGTCTGGGACCTGAGATGTTAGGAAAAGAAGGTTGGGGGGGAGATGATGGAGTGGCTTTTGGCTGGACTTTTCTTGTTAGCCATAGACTGAACCAATTTCTCCTTCAAGAGAGACTGCATTTCAGGAGGATGCATGGTGAGCCAAGAGACCTGCTTCAGCAACTACCAGTACAAGAATGGAGTGAACAGAGAAAAGCTGAGGAGGGTGTGATGTCCTCTGTCTTCAGGAAGATGAAGATCTCTGTTTTCACCCTCAGCCCCAGGGGAGGAGGAAAATGGGGGAGACTGTGGTCCCAAAATGAGACACTGGACTGTTGTTCCTTTTGGTCCTTGGCAAAGAATCCTTAAAGGAGCCACCATGCACAGTGGTGAGAGTACTGTGACATGGAGAGGAGAGTGTCACACTGGCAGATTTTCTCTGGGCGGTGCCATGTGTGACATGGAAACACAAGAAGTGGCAATTGTGTTTCCTGGGGGTCGATGGTACAAAGGAGACTCCTCTCTCCCCTGATGGACTGAGTATTGATTATATTGAAGGGTGATAACTTGATTAAGGGTCCCAGTTGTGTCTCACTGTGGTTTGTTAAGAGTTGGGTGGGGGGAGGAGGAATGTTTTGGAAGGTTTTCATTTTGGATTTAGTGTATGGGGTTTTTTTCTTCTTTTTCCTTTTATCATACTAGTATGTTGTTGTTGAGGCAGGATGGGAATGAGAAGACTTACTCAGAAGGCTGCTGAGAGTAAAACTCTGATTTATTTAAAATATACTGCTCTTTTATACAGAGTTTCGCAAAGGTTAAATTCATTGGTCCTAAAGTGAAAACAAACTACAACATTGGTTTAGAGTGCTTGACGCACAGTGATAGAACTTAACTATAAACAGTGTGAGAACAAGAGAGATAAAGAATTATTTACATTCTTTTCCAGCTCTTTCCCAGGCTTTTGCCTGGCTAGAAACTCTCAATTTCTTTCTTTGACTGAATCTGAGACCCACACTAGTAGTTCTATAAAGTTTTTTTTTTTCCCTTTGTTATTAAGCTTGGGCCTGCTCTGCTCTGTTCCAGATCACATCTCACAGCATTTATTTGGGAAGGTGCATTTTCATGGGGGCACTGGCATTGCACCAGCATCAAACCATGACACACAGTCAGCTATTGCAGGATGCCAGTAATGAAGATGCTGAACACTGGTACCTGCGCAAAGAGGTCCTTCACTGGGTCTAAAAAGGGAGCCAACTTTGAGAGTAAATATAAAGGAACAATTATTGTAATATGTTGATGGCTTCAGCAACCTGAGAGAGGGGTGATGGGGATGGGGAGATAGAGGCTGATGGGGTTATCCTTCAGAGGAAGAGAGGCATTGCTTGTGGAATATCAGAGGTAAAAGGGAGATTATGACATAATAAATCTTTAGTGAGCCATGACTTTTGATACATAAGAGTTCTCAAGCTCATTTTTGGAATTCCTTCAGGGTTCAGATGCTGACAGTGATTTTAAACATGATAGCTTTTAGACTTTGTAAAATGACACCTTAAAAATCACAGTATTAAGGATTAAATGGAAGATAACTGCACTTTTCCACTCTCTCCCATATCTCTATCCACTGTCTGATGCAGTTGTTCTGCACCAATTCAACACCTTCCAAAATAGCAGTGGCACAAATTTATCCTATTCTAGGTGAAAAATCATGCTACATAAAAAATAAGAGTAAACTTACTTTCTGATTTGCAAAGCTACCTTGTCCAGAAAACAGACCAAGGAAATTCTAGAAACCATTTGAAGGCTGTGGATGCACAAGCACATCAGAGAAGTACCAGTTCAAGCTGTCTCCCCATGCAGTACTGCTCCCATCCCTGGAAGGTGATTTCTGATCCATAGGTGCAGAGTGGATCAAGCTAAGGAGCTTGTCCAAGGAACAAAGAAGTGGTCCACTGGACTGGGTCACAGCCTCAGTACCTCAGAATCACATTTAGATACTGTCCTGAGGTGACTTTATGATTCTTGTATCCCCAGTCATCTGTTCTGTTTATGCTGGATATTAAGTTCTGCACCTTTAAAACTGGTTCCAAGAGCGAAGGGGCAGACAAGAAGTGCACAGTTTATTTTCAGAAACTGCACTTGCTCCCCTGTATTCCTTCTCCTGGACTGTGCTGTCTGCAGCATGGACAGACAGCAGGAGAGAGTTCTCCTTTACTTTTTAGTTAGATTTTTTTCGAGCTAGCTGTGGCAGTGAAGTTCCCTGGATTGTGGCTTATTGGGATATTGAGACACAAGACAGATGATGGACTTCGGACCTGGTTAGCATAAGAGATTTGATAACAGGATGCCTTGGCAAGAGCAAGCAGAATTCTGAGGGTTAAATCAACATTGCAAGAAGATTCAATCAGACTGACTTACCGGAAAAAAGAAAATTACATCAGACTTCCACAAGCAAGAGATATTGTAAAATGTCTAAGTTTGTTTATGTGATGATTAACCCAATCCTGGGAGTCCAACATTACTAGCCTTCCTAAAATATTTTATATGGATTTGTATCCCATAATAAATTCGTATTCTTTGACCATCACACAGAGTCTCTGTCTCTCTCTCTTCATCATCAATAATGGCTTTTCTTTTTCTTTGAACTGTTTAACCCTATTATGGACTGAAAACCCAGAAGAACACTGGGAGCTCACACCTGTGGCCCACTGGGGCCAGGATGCAGCATTTTCCAGCACCATCTCTTCAGAACAACGAGAGGTTTTATTGCTTAATATTATTAATTTTTTATGCTTGTGAATACTTTGCCTGTTAAATAAACAGTTTTTTCCACTTTTCTCCAAGGAAATCTTTTCCTGAACCAGTAATGGGAAGGACCTGAGTCTGCTTTCCGGAGGTAGCCTTTTGGAGCTTCTTCCCATATTTGCCCCAAACCAGGACAAATATATATTTTTGGCGCCCAACATGGGGCTTAAGAAAGTGGAAAAACCCTGTATTGATTGTATTTTGGTTGTACTTATTCTGTATTGGAATAAAGCAGTCAGTAGCCATATTACTTGAATTGATAATGTCTCTCTGGGTGGAGGCCTTCATGTGTCTTTGGTCCCCAGGCTTTTTTGAGGTTTTAATACTTTTCTGGCCCCTAGGATTATTTTCTTATCCAGAGATAGCTCCAGTATTGCCCCTAACACATAGTTTTTACAGTGGAGAGGCACGGATGAAAATAGCTATTTTGCTTGGCATGGTGATAATGATTTACAGGGAGTTTAGAAAGGAACTGGAGTTTGGTCAAGATATATATGGTTTATAGTTTCTTTGTCCTTCCCTGCATCCCAGTTCCAGTAGCATGTTTTGGGGGTTTATTAGTAATTGCACCCAGTTTGTTAGAGGAGGAGCAGAGAACAAGGCTTTTCAGCCTTTCCTCCTTCTCCTTTGAATCGGTTACATCACTATTTGAGAATGTTCAGTTTTCCCCTGAATGTTTAAAGAAACCACTTTCCTGGTATTTTACCTGGTAAGCTTCCTCTATACAGTCTGCAGCTTGTCTAGAATGAGGGCTGAGATGTCCAGAGGAACTGATGAGACCCCCGACCCAGGAGTAGACCCATGCATTGAAAATCCTGAGTGGTGTGGAGAATGGGAAGATATGGGCCAAACCCTGAAGAGTTTTCTGACCCTACAGCCTGGGACTTTCCATGTGAACAAATACAGAACCCAGCTGAGGTGGGGAAATACCAGAACAAGAACTGCAATGATGACTCTAAGGAGAAAAAGCTTATTTCAAGAAGCTGGGCCCTGGCACATGCTTATCGCACACTGCTGGGTACTGTAGGGCAGCGGACAGAGGAAGGAGGGCAGGGAGATAAATCAGCAGCTAACCCAGTCACTCAGGCTGCAGCCAACCCCAGCTACTCAGGTTTGTAGCTAAACCAGTAAGCCTAAGCCAGCTAAACCAGACAGTGAGCCTGTCCTGGTTTATAAGGTAAGCATGGATTCTATTTGCCATCTGTTGGAGGTTGGGCAGTTTTCTTATCTCTTCCAAGAACTATGTCTCCCTCCGGGGAGATATCTTCTGTTAATGGGCCACTGAATGACTCACTGCATGACTGGTAAAGTTACATCATCCCATTGGGAGATGCTCCACCCAGAGGGAGGAGCCAAGCATCCCTACCTGCATAAAATCAGCATTTTTTAAGACATCAGAGCAGCCTCTTCACTAAATTCCCAGAAGAACAGCTTCTTCTCTACTAGATTCCCAGAAGAGAATCTTCTACCCCGCTGAATCCCCAGAAAAAAAACAGACCCATCTACTCCATCACCAGACCTTCAGAGAAAACTCCACCCTTCTACAGGATTACCGCTTCAGCAGCATTTCATCTGCCACTCCAGGAGGAGCAGCCACCATTTAACTGGACTATTACCAACACCCTGACTCCTCAGGGTGTCAGGTCTCTGACTCTATCACTAGTTTTGTTTGTACTAATTACACTTTTTTAATTTAGGTTTTTTCCCTAGTAAAAAACTGTTATTCCCATTTCCGTATCTTTACGTGAGAGCCTTTTAATGTAGGTAAGGTAGGAGAGCTCTGCAGAGAGACCTGGAACAGCTGGATGGATGGGCAGAGTCCAGTAAGATGAAGTTAATAAATGCAAATGCCAAGTCTTGCACTTTGGCCGCAATAAGCCCCTGCAACACTCTAGGCTGGGGACAGTGTGGCTGGACAGTGCCAGGTAGAAAGGGACCTGGGGATAGTGGCCAACAGCTGGCTGAACATGAGCCAGCAGTGTGCCCTGGTGGCCAAGAAGGCCAATGGCTCCTGGCCTGGATCAGGAATGGTGTGGCCAGCAGGAGCAGGGAGGTCATTCTGCCCCTGACCTTGGCACGGCTGAGGTCCCACCTCGAGTGCTGGGTCCAGTTCTGGCCCCTCAGTTTGGGAAGGACGTTGAGATGCTTGAGCACGTCCAGAGGAGGCAACGAGGCTGGAGAGGGGCTGGGAACATAAACTCTGTGAGGAACCATTGAGGGAGCTGGGGGTGCTCAGCCTGGAGAAAAGGAGACTCAGAGGTGACCTTATCACTCTTACAGATCCTGAAAGGTGGCTGTGCTCAGGTGGGGTTGGGCTCTTTCTCCAGGCAGCACTGACAGAACCAGAGGACACAGTCTCAGGCTGTGTCAAGGGAAATATAGGTTAGATATTATGAAAAAATTTTTTACAGAAAGGGTGATAAAGTTCTGGAATGGCCTGCCTGGGGAGGTGGTGGAGTCACCATCCTTGGATGTGTTCAAAAAAAGATTGGATGTGTTACCGCGTGCCATGGTTTAGCTGAGGTGTTGGGCATGAGTTAGACCCTGATCTTGAAGGTCTCTTCCAATCTTGTGATTCTGTGATTCTGTCATTGGGACTGTTCAGCCTGGAGAAAAGAAGGCCTCAAGATGACCTAATTGTGGCCTTCCACAACTGGAGGTGGCCTACAAAAACCTGGACAGGGACGTTGAACAAGGGCCTGGAAAGACAGGACCAGGGGGAAGGGCTTCACACTGACAGAGGCCAGGGTTAGACTGGATATTTTGAGGACGGTGATGCCTATATAAATAGCTTGAATTATAAGATATCAACATAACCTAATAGATTTATATAACCTGATATCAATATAATGGGACTCATAGCTTTTTATATCTATATAACCTGATACAAATAACTTTTTACACAATTTAATGGCTAGTATATGGTTAACTAGTTCCTTAATGATGAATAGACAAAAAAGAAGAAAAAAACTCACCAGGTAGATAGTTTTAGAGATAGACAACCATAGTACTAACGAGAAATCGGCAAATGTAAAGCCAATTAGCCACAAAACACAGAATTTAGGACCACACAGACCAAAGACCACCATAACTGCACATGCTCCAAAGACAAAGTTGAAAAGTTCAGGTGTGAAGAAGACCTTTGAAGCCTTCATCAAAGACTCCCTGTGAAAAATGTTTTTGTGATTTGTGTCAATTGGCAATGGAATCACCAAATGCTTGTATCTGCTGTGTCAAAGGGGAACACGTTCCCTGGGATAACTACAAAGAACGGTTTTGAAACTTTCTAACCAAATAGCCAAATAAAGCATCGAACAAGAAAACAGAAGTATAGTAAAGAGATGGGGTAGCAAAACTATTGATGCTTAGAATAAAATAGATGAAGTTGTAGTAGATCTAAGGGATATTACAACAAAGCAACTAAATGCTTATGTATAGTAAAAAGCTTGATGCACTCGTACCAGACTAAAATTAGGTAACAGACCCTGGTGAAAGGCCTCCCTCCACACAACCACAAGGACAGGAAGTCAACAACCACGTGCAAAGATTATGAAAATGCTGATCCCATCTTATTGATATTTGCTGTTTTGGACTAACACAAGCACACTGGAAAATGCTTTGTAGAGTTTACACCAGTACATATACTCTGGTGAACTTGTAGGGGCGTGTGCCGCTAGCGGATCGGTGACTCCCTGGTGAGTGGACGGTGACATCCAGCACTGCTTGCCTGCTTTATTTAAAATAAATGATATAAAAATAAAATTCGGTTTGTCTATCTAGATTTTATATCACCCCAACGACCCCCAAAATGAGGAGACGAAGGCATCGTGCAAAAGAACTAATAACCATGAGGTGATACTAAGTAATTACTTCTGGCATGTATGTTACACTGATATAGTAACACTAAGTAGTACTTACTGTATAAACACACCACAGCACTTGGCAAGGGTGGGCGAGTTAAGCGGAGATCTCCTCACCACCAGCGGGCCAGGCCAGGCCCCACCGCTGCCATTTCCGCGCCTCGCTCCGCCCCTTCCCCTCCGCGCCCGCCGCCACGCGCGGGGCCAATGGGAAGCGGCGGCGGCGGCGCGGCGGCAGCGCTCCGTCCTGCCAGCGGCGGAGCGAGCGCACCCCCGGGGCAGCGGCCCCGAGTGCCGAGCCACCCTCAGCCCTCACAGCGCCGCAGCCTCCGGACCGCGCGTCACGGTCCGTGCCGAGCCCCAGCCCGCCGCTCCCGAGCCCGCCCTCCCACTCACCCGCGCCGGGCGCAGGTAGCCCGGTCCTTCTGCCTGGAGTCGCCGCACGGCTGCGGGAGGAACGCCGGGGCGGCGGCGGTTGTTCCGCGGGCTCTCGGCGCTGCCGGGTGGCCGCGCTCCTCGCGCGCGCTGTTGAACCGACCCCAGGCCGGGGATGGAGGATTGGCTCGCGCAGCCGCGGCGGCGCTGGCGCCCGTGGGGGCCGCCGGGAGATGCAGTCTCCGGGCCGGAGCTCCCGCCGGGCACCGCGCCAGGGGCCCGCGCCGCGCCCGCCCCGGGCCCGCCCGCCGCGCCCGCCCCGGGCCCGCCCGCCCCGCCCTCGCTGCCGCCCCCGCCGGGAGCCAGGAGCGGCCCGGGCCCTGCGCAGCCCCGTGTTCGCTCAGATCGGCCGCGCTGCACACCCAGAGCTGCTCTCCAGAACCAACAGCCTCCACCAGCACAAAGCCGGACTTGGGGTTAATCATGACCTTCATAACAAAGCAGTCTTTTATTTCCTTATCAAAATGCTGTCTATGAGAGCTTTTTTTCCTGGCTGAAAAGAGTAAATTGTTCTGTCTGACAATTTTCTTTTCTTTGAATTTAGGTTCAATGTGGATGGAAAGTTTTCCATTCAAAGGAAAATGCTACATTTCAAATTTTGATCCCAGTTGAAAGTACTGCAATTAAAACCAAGAGATTTTTAAATCAAACTACCATTTTGATAAAATTTTGTTTATAGTATGTAGACTCCAATAACTGCCAATGTATTTTCAAAATGTTCACTGTGTGTTTTAGAGTTGGTCAAGAGTAACCACCAAACACTACATCTTTAACTAAATCTCATTTGTAAAGAAATTGAATAATTTAGCTTCCTCCTAATTGTAATAAATAGCAAGAAATCCATCTGGGGAATAAAGCTCAGAAGCTGAAAGGGCCCTGCAGGATATGCTTTGGCCATTCTTGTACCATCACTGGAGGCTGTGGACTTGTGCAAATCAAGTACCCAGCTGCAAACACTGACCAGAGTGATGACTGATCTGAGTGATTCAAGAGATCATGGCTTTTGTGGTTCCTTGTCACTGTTCAGTTGGACATTAAGTGTCCTCATCATTTACATTGTGGGAGACAGAAGCATTCTGCAGCAGCCTAGAAACACAAATCCCAAGCCCCAACCACCAAAACACCTCAAAATCCTAAAAGGTTAGAAATCATCGCCACCTTAATTGAATCCTGTAGATCACACCCTGCAGTACTTGGGTGGTTCCTTTTTGCAGACCCTCTGCAGGGGAAGGTATAGCTGCTGGTGAAGAACTTCAGCACAAAGGACACCAAATCTTCCTCAGCAGCCACAACTATTGATTTGTCAGTTCCTTTGCTGTTTAGATGGCATTTTCACTAGAAGGCATCCATAACTTCATGCTTCACCATATCTTCATGCTGGCATCTTTCAGTTGCACCTTACTGCACACACAGCTGATACTGACCATTTCATACAGATTTAGATGCCAGCCCTGCTCAAAAGTTACTCAGTCAAATCCTTCTGGAAGACCAGAGAAGTTTACTTGCCTATGATATGGAAGCCCACTGCCAGGACATCATTCACAGACTGTGTCCAGACTGTTGCCCTGCAGGCATGGATTGTTCTGGGGGCGGAGGAGATGCCTTTTTATTACAAATACCAATCACGATTAATTTTGAGAGTTATATGTACCAGCTCCTTCTTGCTGGTAAGACTATTATTGCTGTGACATGGATCCTCAAAAGAGTGGAAATTTGGTATTTCTCCAGGTCAGGATGCATCCCACTCTTCTGTATCCCTCTGTGTGAATCAACACATACAAGTAACCAAGGATACCCATCAAACCACAGCTGAAATGCAAAGAGTAGATTTATTTCATTGCCTTCCTAATAACACCTTGTGGAAGACACATGGGGACACAGGCTCTATTTGGCTTAGTGCATTCTAACAGACAGTTGGGGGGGTGCTAGCTGCCTGCCTCACTAAAGCAAAAGGATTTACAAGTTTTTGACAAAGCAGAGGATGAGCAATATTAAGCATAATAAATGGAGTTTTTTTACACCAATATTTCTTGTATTCACAGCTTCAAAATCACTTTGATCAAAACTATACTCTCCTCCTCACCAAACCTTCCTGTTTTTACCCTTTCCTCCCAACACACTCTCTATAACCTCCTTCAGCCACAGGAGCTATGAAGCTGGATAGTTAACTGAAGTCATAGAGTTAAGTCACACTTTATATGGAATAGTGTGACTTGTAGCATGACTACAAGATGACTAACTGAAAAAAATAGGTTTTTTAAGACTTCTAAATCTATCAGAAATATTTACTGTATGCTGTAAATCAATGTTCAGACTAGTAGTAACTTAAATGTTTTTAGCAGATGGAGTAATTAACAAGTATAATGTATTACCATAACAATTGTTGCAACAGTTTGGAGCCTGGAGATTAAGAACGTCCTTCTAGAAAAGATGTTCAGTGTAATACACAACCTCCATGGAGTTTTGCTGTCAGATTCCTGAAGAAAGTATAATACATATAAAACACCTGACTAATTAATCTTAGTAGTCTTGCTAGATTTAAAATTCAAGAACAAGTCCTCTGAAAGAAAATGTTTTGATCTAAATTCCTTGGTTTAAAGTATTTAGAATCACTTTTCTTTTTTACATCTACTAGTTTACCAGCTGGGCTTCAACAACAAACAGATTGAATGAGGTTTTCATGTAACTGGCTTGTGTACTGGCTTGTGGCTTGTGAGTGGCTTGTGTACACTGGCTTGTGTACTGCAAAAGAAGATGAAAACATTTTAAAATTATTTACCTTTTGTGACAGAGGAGTACAGTGACAGTAAATACGCATTTTTCCAAAGTTCATAAATAAAACCTCTCTACTTAACATGCTATTCAAAACTGCAGGCACTAGTAATATGTCATAGGGATCCCTAGGTGCATCTTCTTCAAGCTAAAAAAGAAGCTGCCACTTTGAAAATCTGGCAAATTTGTGTGGTGAGATGCTTCAAAGACCATACTGGTTAACAGGGGCATTAAAATCATTCATGGCTGCTGACTAATTATTCATGTCTGTGAAGAGTTGCAGCCATTGCAGGCTTGTACAGACACTATTGCAGCAGTTTCTGATTCACAAATTTTCCTCCAGCCACACCAGCCAGGGACCAAGTGTCTCTAAAATGAAAGCCAAAAGAGTTGTGCACAAGCTGGCAGAGCAGGAGAGGTGCCAGCCACCACCATGCTCAGACAGCCCTCAGACAGAGGGTCCTAGGGAGCAGCACAAGAATGACTGGAGTGCCTAAAAATCAGTGTTTAATAATGGAAAATAAAAGTGTACTAACAATCAATATGCAACAAAACATAAGCCTTACATTGTACAGAGCTCCTCCAGAAGACCTCGAAATAAGGCAAACGCAACCTTATATAGACATTATCTGAGGGAAGGGAACCAATGAACAGAGAGAATCAGAAACAATACCTTATATGGAACACAAGATTACCCAATCAGAGGGCAGAGTTCAGAGCATAACCTTATATGGAATTACTCAATCTGCATAACTGTTCCCATAATTCCTCACAGGGCCTAATGTTGTTGCCTTCTATGTGACCAGCCCACAGCCCATCTGTCAAGGATGGACTGCCACATCTCCCCCTTTTTGTTTTTCTTAAAAAAATTTAAAAGATCCCAAGGCCTTCTATAGTACCTTTTAGCATATACATCCCTCTTCTGGTTGGACATTCTCAAACCCATTTTACTCCCTCCAATTCAGCGCTAGGCCAACATCCTCCCCATCCCTCCAGCTTACCTGCAGTCCATCACAGGAATCCTCACCTCTTCAATCGAGTCAAGGTCAAGTTTCTGTCACCCTTAGTCCAGAGGGACAACCTACTAGTCAGAACCCCTTCTGATTTGAGCCTGACAGTACTCTGAATATCAGTGTCCCTGTTCGGGCGCCACTTTTTGTATCACATCCAACAACTGCAACTTTCAGACCAGATTAGCTGGGACTTTTGTGGCAAAATAAAAAGAGATGGGAATGACTGAACTGCCTGAAAAATCAAAGTTTAATAGTGGAAAATAAAAGGTGCACTAACAATGAATGTGCAACAAAACATAATCTGTACATTATATAGAGCTGCTCCAGAAGACCGTAAAATGAGGCAAATGAAACCTTATATAGATGTTATCTGCGGGCAGGGAACCAGTGAACAGAGAGAAGTAGAAACAATACCTTATATGGAACACAAGATTACCCAATCAGAGGGCAGAGTTCAGAGCATAACCTTATATGGAATTACTCAATCTGCATAACTGTTCCCATAATTCCTCACAGGGCCTAATGTTGTTGCCTTCTATGTGACCAGCCCACAGCCCATCTGTCAAGAATGGACTGCCACATCTCCCCCTTTTTGTTTTTCTTTAAAAAATTTAAAAGATCCCAAGGCCTTCTATAGTACCTTTCAGCATATACATCCCTCTTCTGGTTGGACATTCTCAAACCCATTTTACTCCCTCCAATTCAGCGATAGGCCAACATCCTCCCCATCCCTCCAGCTTACCTGCAGTCCATCACAGGAATCCTCACCTCTTCAATCGAGGCAAGGTCAAGTTCCTGTCCCCCTTAGTCCAGAGGGACAACCTACTGGTCAGAACCCCTGCTGATTTGAGCCTGACAGTACTCTGAATATCAGTGTCCCTGTTCGGGCGCCATTTTTTGTATCACATCCAACAACTGCAACTTTCAGACCAGATTAGCTGGGACTTTTGTGGCAAAATAAAAAGAGATGGGAATGACTGAACTGCCTGAAAAATCAAAGTTTAATAGTGGAAAATAAAAGGTGCACTAACAATGAATGTGCAACAAAACATAATCCGTACATTATATAGAGCTGCTCCAGAAGACCTTAAAATGAGGCAAATGAAATCTTATATAGATGTTATCTGCGGGCAGGGAACTAGTGAACAGAGAGAAGCAGAAACAATACCTTATATGGAACACAAGATTACCCAATCAGAATGCAAGAAAGTGACCTGGACAGAGGGGAAGGAGTTAACTGACAAGGGTCTAGGAGGGGCTAGGGATATAAAAGGCGAAGCATGTGTTTTGAAGATGAGCCATGTG